TGCGTCAAATGTCACGTGCTCTCCGAGCGCTTGCCAGAGTGGCCCGCTTATAACGAAAAGTACAGCCACCAGGCTCAAAATAGAAGCGTGCGATTGTTATTTACGAATATTCTGGGTCATATTCAGCCTATTTCTGAACAAGACTGATATATTTCAAATTTCATAGAAGTTAGACGAAGTTAGACTTATAAACAGCGGGGCTAGGCTTTATACAAAAAAAAAAAAAAAAAAAAAAGTAGTGTTTTGCAAATAAAAATTTCAAATAGTAGTTCCGAAAGATAGACTATTCGATATTTGCTTCGCGATGAACTGCGATATGCGTATTTCTCAAAGTTTTTATCTGGGCGAGTTACCCCCACTGAGCGCGCTTTTTACCGAACACGGATGCACTGCGGACAAGCAGCACCCGCGGAAGCAAGCTCCGGACCTGTTGCTTCTCTGCAGTGCACCGATGCACGGTAAGAAGCGCACTCAACGGGGTAACCCGCCGCGATCAACAATTCGAAAAAAGATAAATATTGCATTTGCGTGCTTCGGAGATAAGCACTTTAAAAGGGGATGGTGCACGCGCGCCTTGTGCAAACAAGAAAGTGACTTTGTATGAATGTCGATATCTACATTGCCGTAAAGCTTTCAAAATTAAACTGTGGTTGTTATGTACGAGTATATGCTAGGCAGAGATGCCCTGACAATTTGCGTTTATCATTTGCGATTTTTTTTTTTTACGCGATAGAGTCGAGTTTGTGTCGCAGAAAAGCCGGCGTTGGCGGCGCTATGTCGGGAAAATCCCGATTGGTCGATAGGGTCATGATGTCACAGTACATGACCTCGAGCGAGAATTCCAAATCCACAACGCTCACGTGAAACGTGACGCCACACGTGGAATGAAAGTGATTAAAACATGACATGTAATGCGAATTGAAGGTCGCCGCTTGTCTCGAATGATTTCACTTTATGAAATAATTCATTTGCCTTAAAAAAATTTAAACATTTTAAGTGGGATTCCAACCCACGACCCTTCGGCTGCGAGCCAGACACGCTACTGACTAGGCCACGCGAGGCACGCTTGCACGGCGAATGAGAAGATGATGCGAACGGGGCCCGGCAACGCTATCGCAACTTCAATGTTGTCATTTTTTTTTTTATTTAAATTGATTAAAGCATATTTGCATATGGCAAGATTTGTAAATCCTGTCAATTGGGAATAGCTGGGCATCTTTTTAGGTTTCATTCTATGTCAAATCCGTCGTTTACTTGCCAAGCCAAGGCATCGAACTTTGTGAGGTTGCAGATTGAAGATTAAAGGAATTGTCCGGATGATATCCGGAAGTTACGAAGTTTTTTGCGCTGGTCACGTAGAGGGGGCGTAAATATAATCAGATGAAATGTTTATTTCATTAAAAGACGCCCCAATATTGGTTAAATCAAATGTAAACATCAATACGAAATTTCGCGCGAAATTTCGCAAGTACGCATGGCTGGTCGTGTCGTGACGTCACATCAGGCATTGTAACGTCAGAGTCGCGGGCGTTGACCTATTCCCGGTTTCGTTCAACATGGTTGATGGTGCGTACGGGCGGCGGAGAAAAGCTCACCGGAGAAAAGCTCACCGGAGAAAAGCTCACCGGAGATAAGCTCGCCGGAGATAAGCTCACCGCAAAACCGGCAGATGCGGAGAAAAGCTCACCGATATTTTTTTTAGCTTAGCTTGATTCTACGTAAAACGTGGCAATTTAACACAATTCGCATTCGTCACTTCATTAAAAATATGTCCTTGTTTTTGTAATATTCTTGAGGTTCATTGGGCACATTTAGTAATTCCTCAGAAATTAGTAATCACCCATTCTGTAAATTAATGAAGCCGCGCCGCAAGTATAAAATCAGAACATCGTACACCGGTAAAAAAGGCAACAATTAATTGACAGCTGAGGGTGCGCCGTCGGTAGCTCTGTCAGATAAAGAGGTTTATTTTTTGCGAGCTAATATGAATAGCGGTGTGGGAATAGCTTGAGGTGCAAATATTGTGTAGTGCCTAATAGATAAGTAGATGTTTGTTAATGTAATCAGTGTCGGCTACGCTGTTTTCTTTCTGTTCATTTCTCTAACAAAACTTTAGTTGCGAGAACAGCTCCGTCGTGTCGTGTTTGTTGTCTTCACTCCGTCGTCGTCGTTTAAGCGGTTTTCATCATGTACAACGTTTACCAACTCGCCCAATTCGCTACCTACCTTACAAATGACTAGTTCTTATATAGCTCACGAATAACAACGGAGACTGTGCACCTCTGAAGGTCATGGCTGGCGCACCGTAGAAGGACACTATCACACAAAGGAAACGTGTGGAAACACCAGCACGAACGGTTAGAAAGCGTGCGTGTCCGTGGAAGAAAGAAGCCTCGATATCCTATTGACTGTTTTATCCTGTTTTCAAATGTTAACAAAAGCTTCAAAGAGAATTTCAGGCACCGCGGTGTTGCGCGTGCACTTCTGAATTTTCGGCATTTACACCTTTGATTTTTAGGTTTTAGGCAGTCATCATTACGTTTTTTTAACTTTTTCCTGTTCTTCAAGTTCATAAAGACTTTAGTTAGGCTTTCGTTGCCTAAAGAGTAAGCTACAAAAAACACTGGCCCGCAATTATTAATCTGGGAGCAATATATACCCAATTAAGCTTAACAAATATTACAAAAGAGGACATTTTATTTTTTACAAAGCTGACGAATTTTAATGATAATAAATTGATATATGTTACGCGCGATCCAACAGCCTCCATATAAAAAGAAGAAAAAAAAACGGTAAGCTTTTCTGCGCATACGCTCAATGGCGGGTGAGCTTTTCTCCGCATCTGCCGGTTTTGCGGTGAGCTTATCTCCGGTGAGCTTATCTCCGGTGAGCTTTTCTCCCATGAGCTTATCTCCGGTGAGCTTATCTCCGGTGAGCTTTTCTCCGGTGAGCTTATCTCCGATGAGCTTTTCTCCGGTGAGCTTTTCTCCGGTGAGCTTTTCTCCGGGATTCGGTGCGTACAAAGATCATCGTCAATGAATTGAGCTTCCCTCAATACCGTAAATCTTCTTTCTTAGAACAGGGTTATTTTACTGAGCACTCGAGAGCTGTCGTGGCTCTCTTTGCATGACGCCAAGTCACAGCTTCCGCTGTAGCCAACTAAAACGCTGCGTTTGGCGAGAGCAATCTTAGCAGTTGGCTTGTTTAAAATTAAATTACTTCTGCGGCGGAAGATTAAAACTTTGAATATTGTGCGGATGACATTCCCAAAAAGCAATGACAATAAAATTTAATTGTTTTCTGAAAGACAAAATTTTACAGGACAATCCCTTTAACATTAGCTTATAAATGGACAGGTGAAAGCTTGGGAGCAACATTCATCCGTTTAGCTTGGTTTTCATTTAAGCATTGTGCAACAGCAGTCAAAGCAGGCATGTAGCCAGGATTTTAGTTCGGCAGGGCCCGCCCATGACAAAATGCTGTATGACGGGGCGGGGGAGAGGAGGCCCCAGCAAAATGGAATATTTCGGGGGGGGGGGGGGGGGGGGGGGGGCGGGGGGGGGGGGGCATGGGTTCCCCCTTTCTGGATATGTGTCTGAGTCAAAGGCTTCGAGAAACTAGTCAATATTCTATTCGAAAATATTCATCCAAAACAACTATTTGCTTTCAATTCGTTTCAAATTCAAAGCCTGCTATTCACACAGCACTCCAAAAATGTCAGAGTTTTGTGCAGAAGTCCATCCTACTATACTCGCTTCCTCCTCAAGAACCGTAATAAAAAGAAAGTTCGGCTCTTCGAGGGGTAGTATTACTAATTTCCCCCTTGACATGGAGAATTAGGATATATTTAGGTGCATTTCATATTAGATATACGCTACCTTGTCGGGACATCCCCGCTCAAAACACCAAAAGCATTGCTTCTTACTCCGACAACCAAATCTTGCAAGAACTACTTCGCGTGGCGTATGAACAATGCGCAAAACTTGCCTTTTCTTTTGAGGTGACGAGCTTAGGCACCACCAGCACGATCGGTTTGCGACGTCTGTTTAATTTATCTGCGAGGATTCACATGCTAGTTCATAGAGCTGGATTGGCTGAGAGTAGCTTCTGCTGCGGTCGGTCGTAAGGTGAAACTGAGTACAGTAGCACAACCGACTTGCTCAATACGCAGGAAGCTAGGGCCCAAAGTGGACCTCCGGAAGCAGAGCAAGCTCGTTCCGATGCAGACCGATCAAGAGGTAGAAGCGAAAGAGCACCAGCAAGCCAACATGCTGGAGCTAGTGACCTTTGCACTGGCCATGTCCCTCATCATGCTACTGGCAACCTTCATCTGCAACCGCATAACCAGCAGCTGCACCATCAAGCTTCCCCAGCGCAACGCGGCCAGCCGACTCCTCGGAAGTCGTTCCGGCGAATCGGTGCAGCGGCTGCTTCCCGAGAGTGTCTGATCTGCGTCCGGCAATAAAGTCATCTAATTCTCGTCGAAAGACAAGGGATTAAACCACTCACAAGCCACGGTGCCTTCCATTTCGATTGGAAGGAAATTTAACCGTTGCACCACTAGTGGTTAAGTTGAGAACTGAACCGACGGTGACAACCACAACGCAACTTCCTTGTTTGAATTTCTCGTGCAACTACTGTGTCAGCAACCAACCACGCCTAGCGTTCAGTCAGTGAATCACCCATTCACGAGTCCCAGCTACACGCTGAGGCAGCACAGACGACGTAAAAAATACAGTTGATTAACGTAGAAGTTTGAGCTAGTTGGCATTGAAGACATAATTAAAAAATAATCCAATCTACGGGTCTTGTGTCGGGTAAACCCCGAGTGCTGTGGAAGTCAAGCTGGAAAAGTGGCCCCTACAGTTAGATCTCTTCCCCAAGAACACAGTTGTAAGAGCTAGTAACTGGGACCGTCAAACGGATCGACAGGATTCGCTTCAGGGAATGGATCGGGTATCACGAAAAAGATGGCATTGTACAAAAATATGAAGATTTCGTTTTAACTTTGAAAGGTACTCTTTAATGTCTTAGTTTGTCGATTCCCTTGTTTGCTATCTAGCGTTGCCAAAGCAATATAGTTGATTCCATCAATAAATATTGTGTGCACATTTCCCCAGCACAAATTCATCTGTCAAACGCTGGGTACAAGCCGAAGAACATACGAGGTTTGAAGGCAAGGCAAATCGTCACTCCACGTTCCCCGTCATCACAAAAATCATCCGACCTATAGAGAACATAGAATTAGCTCAGTGAAGGAGAAAATTTCAGGCCACCGTTATTTGACACAAACACCCTGCCCAACTCAAAATAATGGTAGGCATAGCACATGTTTTGTTGTTGTCAAATTAAAATGTGTGCCTACAAGCAGATGTCAGATAGTAGTACCCTACGATGCAACAGTGACTCCATGTACAAGCAAAGCTCAAGCTACATTCCACTTGTCTTCCAAGGCAGTTGCTGCGACTGTGTGACGTTGCTAATTTAGCCTTCTCAACTGACACTGGGCACTTAGCTTCCAAGCCATAAGCTGCTGGCTAGCTTCCGATAATAAGCCACCGTTGCTTGATTTCTTCAACTTGCTTCGAGACGAAAGGCTCGCGAACACGAACTTTCACCTCTAGCTTGCCTCCGGAAGGTCGCTTGCTGTCGAATACCTGAGTGGGAGGAACGAAGGTTGACAAGAAATATTAAAAATAAAAGAATGATCAATAAGAACTCAGCACAGTAGTCTCTCTAGGCGGAACTACAAAGAACCCGAATCAGAAGTTCTACCCATCAAAAGACAAGGAGACTCTGAGAATGCGGGAAACCAAAAAGACATACAAAGACACTCAAGACTGCTAGCGTGTAGGAATGCGAAAGCCTTGGTACACGTAGCGTATTTCTACATGCGCACCGCGCTGAGCTCGGCCGGGCGACCTCTGTGTAGGCTGCCCAGGCGGGCTCGGCAGCCGGCTGCTCTGCAGAGCCCGGCCACCCGGGCTCTCCAGCCGGCTGCTCTGCAGAGCCCGGCCACCCGGGCTCTCCAGCCGGCTGCTCTGCAGAGCCCGGCCACCCGGGCTCTCCAGAGCAGAGCCCGGGTGGCCGGGTGACCAGGTGACCTTACTGGCGCCCGGGCCACTGCGCCATGGAGAGGGCTTCTCTGTGGGGTGGCGTTCCTTAGAATTATGCCGCAAGCCAGCCAATGAGAGTTTTCCATCAATTTGCTGCTACAGACCACAGGCTTCGCTACATGGGACAGGGGAATTTAGGTGCCGTTTGACGCGGCTTCAAAAGTTGATATCGCCGGTTCGCTCTATGGGACAGTTAATGCTTTCGCATTAATAGTTCCTCTTGTCAAAGCTCTCTTATAAAGATACTTCTGTACTACACTGGTGCACAGTTTGGTGTATAGCAGAGAGATCAAAATGTGTAGTGACAAGGGCAAAGTTGAAATTAAAATGAGATAACGAAGACAAATATATGTAACAATTCTGAATTAGCTTACAACAACAAAAAAAAACGAAATATTTGTTGTCAATAAGCTAGAAAATTCAAGCAAGAGATTAAAATTTAAGGGTAATTAATTTGAATATTTTGGGACAAATTTCTTCTAGTTGGAAAAGCAATCATTGGAGTTGAGCATGGCAAAGGTTAAATTTCCACAATCCTACTCCAGAAACCACCTTACCACTTTAACAAACAAGGAGCTGCAATTCTTTTCTTTCAAATGTAATCTGCAATTTTGTTGTTGTCCTTTTTAAACAGAAACTAACATTGTCTAAGCATCCATGTACCTAAGCTTTAGAGCATTGATCGATTACTCAGCTCAATGCTTCATAAAAACCAGTTGTTTCCGTGTCTCCATCAAAACTAGAACAAATTTAGAATGAACTGCATAGCAAAGACATTCTCGTCCATTATTTATAAAAGTGATGATGCCCAATGAAATGCTACACAAAGCTAGACTGCTGTATGAGCCAGTAGATAACATGGAATTTCAAAAATTGCCTAGAAGACAGCATGATACTCTGAATGGTCAGAGTCCTCCACAAATAACAAAAGACCAAGCTTGAACACTGCTAGGCACACACATAGAGTCAAAGCAAGCAAACTTACATCGTAGCTGTCGTGCAAGTCACACTTCGTTTCGAGATCCTCAAACTTAACTGCCACCGTGCCCAGGATTGCGTCGCTCCTTAGAAATCCCCTGCAAAAAACAACACAGCACTGAGCAACACCTGAACAGCACCAAACATTATCGTTAGAATTCTTACCTCTTGGCCCACACTTCCAGCTTAATGGGATGTCTCTTCGTGATCCTGGCAAAGCTGCGGGACTTGCGGTTGATCTCAAACTTGAACGTCTCTTGGAACTCTGGGGTTCGAAAAAGAAGGCAAACATGTGAGCCTATCATGCATTAGTCACCAGATGAATTAGTGACAGAGCAGTTACATGTTTCACTGAAGCTACTCGCAAAGAATAGCCCAAGTCCTCAAGCTAGGCTACTAGAAACACTAGAAACTAGGGATTTTTTAAAGTACTGCCAAGGGTCCCCCAGCCTCCTACCTGAATTCTCTTTCCCTCATCAAAACTGCACTTTATCTCACTAGTTTCATGTAGCATTGTGGAAGCCACAGACAGGAAAGAGAAAGCAAAGCCCCTTTTGTATGAATTTTGAGAGAAAGGCTAATCTCCGATATGCGTAATAACAGTATCTGGGATACACGAAAGAGGGTCCTTTGCATTACCCTCTTTCCCCGTATCTTTCAAGTTTTTCAAGTTTCTTTATTCCTCTTCAAACAAGAAGAGAGGGAGGAGGGAAAAAGCAGTACAAAACTGCTTGACAGTGCCCTCTCCTCCCCCAACAGCAACAGCAGAAGAGGCACTCAAAACAAAAAACGCTCTCAAGAGTACACAGTCAGATTTCTCACGAAACTAGTAAAGATAATATGCGTTTGTTAGAACAGTTTTCAATTGTAATATTACGCGACAAAAAATAGTTTAACATTTTGGGCAGCTGGTATCTCACCATCTGATTTCCATAGTTTGTTCTCGAGCGCGGGACCGTCCAGGCGTCGGCATGGCGGGTATAAGGGCAGTGGTCATTACGAATCGGCAAAATTTACAGACTGTATGAAGTTTCTAGCTCTTTCCCTGAAAGAATGCTGATAGGGAAGTATAGGAAGGAGGGAGTTCCTTGGATGTTCCTGCTCGACAGCTACAGGTTTATTGCAGTTGCTAGACCTCAGCTCAAGGATAAAACTGTCGCTTACCAGGGTTGATGGTGTCCTTCACAGTCCTCGTTCTCACCGACTGAGGTGCATCCTGGAACGAGAGGACAGTTCCTTCTGCATTAAAACAACACTTTCAAGAACAGACTCAGGACTTCCCAAAAGTCTAGAGCAAAGTCAATTCAGCTTCATTAGCAGGCCCCAATTCTAAAGTCAAAACAGCATGCATCAGCATGAGCTGACCGTGAATCATCATCCCCCAATGCTTGTAGCCAGTGGGTTTTCTTCCTTTCACTGACGAATACTAAAAAAGATAAATAGTTGTAACCTTGCTAAGGTAAATTTTACAGGTCAGACTTTCAGCAGCTTTTTTTTTACAGACTAGGCAAGCTTTCAGCACAGCCAAGACATGTAAAGGTGCACTACAACTAGCCAAACAAGTTCACCTTTCTCCCAATAACAAAGTTCACAAGTTTGTAAACCTTCTGGTTAGAATGGCGTCAGGAGGGATTCCTTGACTGTCTCTGAAGGCAGCTACTGCCTCCTTAAAGGCCGACGTACAACCTCGGTTTTCTGCAGGGAAGATAATCCACTTAGCGCTTCCCTCTCCTATGCTGCGAGGGGGAGCCTAGTTGGGGCAATGTAAAAAGTGGAGAGCATATAGGAAAGGAGGAGGCGGGCAAAAGTGGAAAGCGTGAAGTGTACGTCGGCCTTTAAGACAGCAGAAGTTCAGGAGCCCCTGGTCCAGAAGTCTGGCAAACGGGTAGGTAAAACTACAGCGGCCTACAGAGTTGTAGTGGGCTCACGGGACGGCTCGGCCTGATGCGTTTGATGTCGACACTGCGGTGGCGCTGTAAGCGTTTCCTTTTGAAACTTTCCAGCGCGCATTGGCCAGACCAGGTCGGCTAGGCGACTCGTATCAATCACGGGCAGTGGGCGGGAGAAGTTTCAGGAGGAATCTACTGCTGCGTCTCTGGCGTTTTCGACATTGGCTGATTCAGCGCAATACATGGGGGAGATAGGGCGGTGAGCCCACTACCCAACTTCTAGGGCACTGTACTACAACGCCAAAGCCCACCAAACAAAAGAGTCTTGAGACACAAGAGGTTCATGAGCTCCCCGGTCCAGAAGCCTGACAAACAGGCAGCTTGAGACACAAGTTTCAGCAGCCCCTAGTCAAGAAGCCTTGCAGACAAGCACCAACAATGCTAAGGCCCACCAAACAAAAAGTGTCCTCCTCCTTGACATTTTTCAATGGCGTTCTAAATGCATAGCATTCACAATGCCTCGGCTCACGTTTACCCAAGACCAGTCAGTCGCAGCACACTTCACATACGACATCGAACGGATCGTCCGTGGACTGGTGCCGAAACTAAGGATTGGCCGCAACGTAATGGCGACTGGTGTCATGTCGCCGCCGGACTCGGCGCTCTTATTTTGCAGTCCCGTCCCCTGCTCTTTCCCCTTCACCTCGCTGCACCTGCAGTTGTCAGGCCGAATGAAGCACGACCCAAGGCCCGCAAACAAGAGCCTTCATGGCAAGTCTGCTTTGCTGCCAAAGAGAGCACAGTGAGAAAGGTGCCCATTCCAAAAGCGGTCGTCGACTGCACGCACTTTGAGCACTCTGTCTGTGTTTTGGGCTCAGACACAAAAATGCTAAGCGCTGGCCCTATAAATGCTACGCATTTAAAGAGTCTCGAGACAGATTGGGCGACTGAAGTGCTTCGAGACTCACATTTGGAAAGGGAAATTCAACCCTCACGTAGGAATCCAGTTCGTCCGGCTTTCCTGCATAGACAGAAAAAGGGCGAGGGGGGAGAGAAAGGAAACGGGCTTAGAGAGAGGAAGTGTCCTTACTTGACTAGGAGAGAGCGGTCCCTGGTGGACCCGGGGCGAGAGCGGGGAAGGGAAACCATCAAGAGACCGCACACATACTGCCACACCGACAGCTGCATGCTATTGAACCGTTTGTTCCAAAGCTCCGACCTACAAGACACCAAGGACCGCGTGCGCGCCCGGGCTTTACGGAGGGGCGTGGACAGCCGACATACAGAATGCGCGCATCCATGCAAGGAACAGCATGCTTTGAGAAACAATAAAATCAGTCGTGTGTGAAGATTCAAATTGTTCTATTCAACCCAAACATAAACTGGCTAAAAGTAAAAAAAACAAAAAGTTCTCAAAGCTTTTTTACCTATTGTGAAAACAAAGCTTTTTTTCATAAATGTCTACTGTACTCACTGTCACCAAGAAATAAAAACAGGCCGTGACAACCAAACAAGATTTGGTTGTCAGAAAAAAATATCTTTGCTTTCTGCATTTGAAACACATCCATTTTCATCAAATAACAAACAACTCTTCTTAAATGCACACATACCTTAATACACCACTTCCAGTAGTTGGAGTGAAAACGAGCATTTAGTATAGAGCCACTCCCCCCAAATCTTACTTCTTTACAGCACTATAAAGGCAGCAGCTCAACAGTGCAGCTCTGCAAAACACTTGATTTGCCCGATCACTCACGTTTGTAAACCAACCTCGCTCGAACAAGCGCAAAGTAACAAACATGAACAGAGGAATAACTGCTGTGGCAGTGTCGGACAACAGGTCAGGGCAAAATGTGTAGTGCTGGAGGGATTCAGCTGTCTACTACTAGTCTTTCCAAGAATATCAATCAATCAATCAATTGATCAACCAATAAATTTTCTGAAAAAGACTACTAGGTGGGTACTAGAGCCAACCAATCAATCAATCCTACAACCACTTAAACAAAGAAATGAATCGATTAAGTGACATTCTATTCTCCGTTCACCCCTAAGCTGACAATGCAGTGGGTGGGAGCTACGCTTTTGCTAGAAAAATCAGTCACTTCCCTTTCATCATTTGATCCCACTCTTTGCATGCAGGTGTGGGTGGTATTGTGACCACGTGGCGAAAGATGTACACATGACTAGTCCGACGAGCACGTAGCTTCAGTCGCGATATCAGATTAGGGGTAAAACAAGCTTAGAAGAAACTACTAGGCCCTAAAGTCAACTGATCAATGAGCCATTTAAACGACAAATCGGTTTGTTAATTCAGTGAGTGATATGCTAAAAGACTGCTAGAAACAAGAATTGACCAATCAATCAGTAATTTAGTCAATACTTCAGTCAACCAACAAGGGTAAGAGAACCGCAGTTGAAGAGACCCACCTGGAAGGTTGATCGCCCTCACCACCGAAACCTCGAGTTCGTTGTCTGTGAGGTCGTGATTACACCTGGAATAAAACGAGAGTCCGAATGAGAACCCCAGACACCTGGGTAAGGTGCACGTAGGCACGGTGTCGCTCACCTGACTATGGTGAAGACCCTCGTCTCGTAGTGGAAACGGGGCATGGGGTCGTTCCTCTGCCACAGGTTACGCACCACCAGAAGGTCCCGATGGGCCTCCTGGGCCAGCTTCTCAAATCTGGTTTCGGAGAATGACGATAGTAAATACCAGGTAACCTACCTAGTTCGCATATCTCAACTTGCATCCCTCAATTCGCATCTTCGAATAAACGATCTCTGAAATCAGACCTCTAATCTCATACCTCTGATCTCGCATCCCTGAATTTACATCTCTGAACTCATGTTTCTGACCTCAAGTCTCTGAACTCAAGTCTCTGAACTCACTTCCCTGAGATCATTTGCCTGAACTCCCTTCTCTGAATTTTTTAGCAGATATATCGTAGGCCTCTCCACGAGTTGAGCATTAAACCTTGACTAGTGAAGTTCAAGAGAGTACAACACTGTCCGTTGCAAGTCCGAGGACGTCTCGTCTGTTTTGCATACGGAGTCATGTCCTTCCGGTATATCAACCTGCTTGTATAAAGAAGCCCATTCCAAAACAAATTATTATGCAGAATAAGCAATACATTTGCAACTATAGCCCCTCCTTTAGGGTGGCAAATGCTTAGAAATACCTTAATTTTTGGAGATAAAAGCAAGATCTTTACTGTTCAGTTCTACCTTTGTAACATGCCTGAAAAAATAAACTTCAAAATTAATGTCCGGGAGTACTACAGGCAAAAATACCTCTGGGTTAAGAGTCAGAACCCTTCAGTCTAAAGAGAGAGTTATGAATATGCAATTCTGTCCCTAAATATTTGGAAATCGAACTGTACGTCCCAGCATAAGAAGGCTGGCATACACTTTCTGCTTTCCACTTTCTCAGTTTATTTTTTTTACTTCGCTACTCTACCAGATGGGAAGAGGAGGAAACAAAGGTTTCCTGCCTTGTGGAAGGTAAAAGTTTGTATGTTAGCCTCCACACACGTGAATCTGAGAAAAAACTGAATTAAATAAGCAGACAGCTAAACAATTTTCCCAAAAATTCCTGTAATTTTTGTTTTATCCTTAAAGGAGCTGTGCAACAATTTCAGGGCTTTGCTGAAATTATTGTGGAAGTTGATGCCTGACATTTCTGAAGTGAACTACAGAAAACAGATTTCGCCCGGATACCCTAGTTTTTATTTTTAAAAAATGAAAAAGATGCAGGTTTTTGCCGCCTCTCAACTCGTACGTCGTCTTCCGGGTCATGTGCGGAGTGACGTTGATGGGGTAGGCGTGGGGTTCCGAAAAAGTTCTCTCTTTAGAGTCATCAGTGAGCAGCGAGAACTCATCCGCTCGCGACCCCGTGACCACGTGCTGGCGGGCGCCGCGCGAACAATATGGTGAAAGGTGGAAAGTCTCATCCGGGTCCAGCCCTGTCCCCCTCCCCCTTTGGCTTCTGGCGGCTGTTCGTGGTAGCAGAGAGAGCCGACGGTTTTGTGGACCTAGGATAGATGGCGCCACTAAAACTCCGTATAAAAAAAAGTTTTGTCGATGATACCAGGTTTTTGACGCATTTATATATATGTTGGAACGACAAGATTTATAGAAAAGTTACCTTATATCTAGCAGGGATTCGCACAACTTGCTATCTTTCTATGAGACCCCCCATTGACGTCAATCCGCGTGTTTCTCATGGCTGCCGCTCGCGGCTGCAAGTCGGGGAATATTCTAAGTTTTGCCTCGCTATTACGCGGTGGAATCGCAACATTTCGACGAAAGGGGTTGTGCTTTCTGTCATTTGTGACAAGGCGAACAATATCAAAAGCAGAAGATGCCGATTCTTTCAATGTTAAAATCGTTGCACAGCTCCTTTAACAATAGATACAGAGGGGGATTTATAGTGCATGTGACATAACATACACAAGGAAATCAACAGCTAAAGAACACTCTATATTTACATGAAAACCTGCATCGCCGTTTTGGCAATATTGCAGGGTACATGGTGTACACAACTTTTCTCCTCATCAAAACTATAACACAAAAGAAAAAAATATTTTGATTTAGCACAAATAATAACTAAAAAACAATATCAACAAACAACTTACTTTGTTCCTGAGGACACATCCCCCAGCTTGAAGAAGTGGTCCTTGTTTTGGACACACATCTAGGGTTCAAGAGAACAAAAACAAGTCTCGGGTTGCAACCAACGAAAAAGGAATGCCTTCCAGATTCAATCTAGAATTAGCATTGGTTGTCTTAGAAGGGAAGGAAACAAAACTCCAAAACAAAGCTTTGTAACAAAGCTCCAAGTGATCATCAAACGATTTTCTGACTTTTCTTTAAACGTGAACTGGAATGAAGCCTTCGACGATGCTCAGGATTCTGTAGAATTTGCATTAGCTCTCTCCACAGTCCCTCCTTTCACAGAAAACATTTCAAAGTAAGAAATTCTGACCTTTGCACACTTCTTACATAACTGTTTTGTCTACACCATTCAAGCTGTCCACTTTAACAAAAGCAATGAACCAAACTAGCACAACTGAAGCCCACATCTCTCCTTCTTTGGTGATGAACGCATTCAAGGTCATCGGTGTCTGTGATATACAACACTAAGAACCGCGCGACCGCGTGACCACGTGCTGGCGGGCGCCTGGGTCGGCAACCCACAACGCTAAAGTGACGACTGCAAAGCAAATCTTTGCTCCTGACAGTAGTATTATAATATCCCCAGAAGCCCACCTAAAATCGAAAGCAAACCGAGAGGAAATAAGGAGGGGCCAACTTTCAATGTGCAATCAAAAAGAAGTTGAAAGAATGCTAGTTTTAGATTTTGTGACCTGCGGCACTTGCGACTGCAGGGAGGGGCAACGAACCAAAGACAACCGTCCTGCCCAGTCAGCAACATTTGCTCATCTCTTATCATGGCTAAGTAACACTATATCTACACCATATCTGCCAAGGTCACCATTGGCCAGGGCACTGCGACTACTAGAAGTAAACCGTTTCGGTGGTTTTTTAAAAAAAAAATAGCAAATCGTGCCAAAAATAGGAAGTGGGTTATCTTTCGGAGGTGGGGCGTCTCTCGAGATATTGTGGTACTACACCTTGGTGACATCTGCCACCATAGGACTGGACCTATACACAAACCCACAAGTATGCAGGAATGAAGCTGATGTGATCGGTGACATTGGTGTGTGAGTCGATTGCAAACTCCCATGTTCAAATCTCATGTAACTACTATTGGTGGTACCGTTTTTAAAATGTTTGGTATGATCTCCCGTTTGACACGGCACTTTTCAAGCACCTGATGCCATATCACGTTTATTTTGTGCTCTGGTTAGGCCCCGGCTCCATTCCGTTTCTCTCACGTGGAACCGTTTATCGGAAACTGAATGTAAGCACATTGAAGCGGTGCAGAGGCGTTTGGTTCGCATAGTCTATGTATGAACAACATTTTCACGGGAGACTTTATTTTCAACACCATTCTCTGCTTAAGATTTTGAACCTCAGCGCTTTGGGTTTGAAGGCATTGCCGAGATGCGGTGTTTCTACAAAAGCTTATACAAGATGTAATTGACATACCTGATCTTTTATGCAGCGTAAAGTTATGTGTACCAGCAAACTTTGCACGACATTGCGACATGTTTTATACTAACAGGCAAATAGAGGAACCACCAATTTATCGTATTCAGACATCATGCAACATCCTTGTCCAGCACAATTTTTTTTTTTCATGCCTTATTTTACCCTAAGTACCTGACGCGCCTCTAATATGTTTGGTTATGACTGTCTTATTATGATGAATGTTTTATTATGACTATTGTAATTCCATATGTCTGCATGTTAGGAATCCTTAGGAACCTGACTTCTGCACGCCAGTGTCAAAACCATTATGGTGTGTTAGGCACACAATAAAAGGATACTGAGGTACACCTAAGCACTTCTTATGAGTTGTGAATGCAAAAGCATGTACATCAATCTTGCTCTATGCATGTTGGCGTGCTGACTGGCACTGACTAGAGTTCCTGTATAGGCTCCTTATGGGAGCCAGAGTTGTGCATTCACCCCCATAGCGCCGTCTTTCCTGCATGGCATGTTGATCCAGCTCCTCACGTGACTGAATTCGGCGAATAGCGGCGCCGCACGTTCGAGGCGCGCGGCGCGCTTAAAAGCAGGGGAACGTGCGGCAGAGAGTGCGCAACGTCTGCTTTCCTGCACGGCACTTGATCCGGCTCCTCATGTGGTCAGATCACGGCGAATAGCGGTGCGGCGGCAAGTGGAAAGCAGACGCACAACTCTGGCTCCCGTTGGGAGCCTATACAGGAACTTTAGCGCTGACGGACACGCAGCACCATGAGGTGGCCGGTTGTTGAAACTGAAGCGCAGCATCAACTCTAACGACCGGCCACCGCATGGCACTGTGTGTCCAGCAAATGGAAGCCTGGTCGGCGCGCACTAGCCAATGGGATCGCAGCGGTGTAAAAGGTGCCGTTGGCTGTGGACGCACGCTAGCCAATGGGATCGAAGCGGTGTAAAAGAGCCGTTTGGCGTGGTCTTAAAGCTGATGACATTGGCTCGTTCCATGAAACAGTTAATGCTTTCGCATTATTATCAATATCAGCTGAGCCCAAACCCAACTTGAGAGCAAATGCGGTGCTTTTGCCTTTTGTTGTAATTTTGCTTTTAAATTAAATAGAAGGTTGTAGTTGCCGCCAAGCAATAACATCGTGTAGTACATACTGGCATCCCAGCAAACTGTCACAAACCAATGTCATATAGCTCTCCAAAGGAGAGGTGAAGGCGTTCAGAGCAGAAACGCAGCTATTGGCCGATTAGCTCTTGAAATTCACAATGAAAGAACAATATGTACAATACACACGGACCGAAAGTGTTTCAGGGCTGCCCAATGAATGGCATAAGTGTGTTCTCTCACTGCAAATGATCACTAGAGGTCGCCACACAGTCAATTGCACTCAAATGCAATTATGTGAACCAGCTCTTAAAGAGTCCAGACGAAATAAATCAACACTCATGTAACTCGAACAGTGAAATCCACTTGTAACGATAATGGGAAAACCCCGAAATTCAATCACAATAACTGATTATTGTTGTATCTGGGCTAAAAACTGACTGTTTCTAGTCTAGAAACTGATCGTTATGAGCAGAACATTGTTATACAGTCAAACCCGTCTATAACAAACAGCAGGAAATGCCCCGATCAGTTCGATATAGCAAGTAATTCGATATAGCAAAAACTATTTATAATTAACTTCCACGAGGCGTTCGTTGTAAGGCGAGAACTTCTTTTTCTTTCTCATCCGCCTTGTAACAACGCGCTGGAAAGTTTTTTTTTCTTTTTTCATACGTACAAAGTTTGTGTCTTTAGCTTATCTCCCCTTCTGATTCGCTTCTCTTCACTGAATTTTGTTTGCAACTTGAGCCTTTGGAATTTTCTTTCTTTCCTACTTCTTTTTTTTTTTGGTGAAAAAAACAGGCTAGAAGACGAATATTTGCGTGTTTTTAGAAACTTTCCCGGGTGGAAAAAGTTTGATATAGCCAATAGGTTGTTTGTTATACAAATTACTCTTTACATGCATTTTTATTTAAATTTTTTGCAAGTTCGATATTGACAATAATTCACTGTATGTGGGTTCGTTCTAAACGGGTTTCACTGTATGTGCTATCGTTATAAATTAATTTTACTGTATTGCAACCGACCAGAGCACCTCCGTCAACACTAAAAAATTGAGAGCAAGGCGTCCAACGTACCTGATGCTGGTCGACTAGTTCTCTCTCCAACGTTCTGTAGGCTTCGTCATCTGTCCCTTCCTGCTCCTTCCCCTCGCACTCCGAAGCTTCGACGACCACAAAATCTTCCTGAAGCTGAGGTGGTATGGGAATCTGAAACGGGCATTCAGAAAGTTTGCAATGCTACACTGAATGCCTTGGCTGTTGAGAATGTAAAAATAACTCAAATGAAAAACAGAAGATGTACTTACACTCGTCGCGTTGATGGGCAGGCCTGCTTCTGTTGCCTGGATCATGGGGTCAAGGCCCTGTAAGCCAGCAAACCGATTTAGCCATTGAACCAGTAGAGTGAAAAACCAAGTAATGAACCAACTGTGTAGTGGACCAGTCACGCAGCTTGGAAACGCTTGCAAAAGCAAATAAAGCCCAGCAAGGAGCCACGCAAGCCAGCGTATGATAAGGCTGCTGCAGTTGATTGTTCGGTCATGCTGACGAAGTGCCAAGAAGTTATGGAAAGTGCTGCAGTGCAGGCTCTCAAATATGTATAAGGGAGGGTAAAACTTAAAAGTGAAAAACCATGTTTCGTGAGAGAAAAGTTTGTCACCACAGGCAGACAGTTTGTTCTATGGAGAACTGAATGAGTCAGTGGTGCCCCCATCTCTCAAACACTTCCAATGGCACTGCAACCAGTTAAACATAATGCAAGTTGTAAAGAACCTACAGGCTAGCAGAACACACCAACTGAGAAGTCAAGCATGCAAACACGCTGACGATTGTACCCAGTGTCCAAACATTTGTCTCATTCAAATGCAACAAATGCTAAACAACGAAGAAAACAAAACAAAAAAACACAGATCCACACACTTGGCTAAAACTTTTTAAAAACAAAAGTTAATGTTGCAACAACCCGGCACCGTTGCTCGAACAGCGAGCCTCGCTGAACACCGTTGATTTTCCACATACAGCCTGCGCCGAGGAGACTGTAAGTCACAGCCACATTGCCTAACACATCGTACAAAAGAGAGTCAGCAGACACATTCAAAGCATACATACGTACGAAGCAAACATGCTTCAAACATACTTGAGGGCATGTCCGCACATGATTCTGTCGTCATGTGTGCAGCAAATGCCATGTCTTTTGTACGATGTATGGGCAGTGTGACTGCGGCTGCAGTCCTTCTACCTGTGTGACAGCCCGGCTGCGGGTCTGCGCGAGCAGAGTCACCTCGTGCACCGACCCCCGCGGACAAAACTTGTGGCGGAATCACGTGCGCGTGGACTGCCTAGCAAGATCGGTCTGCCACACACGGAGGACGGGCAATGAGTCCAGGCATAGCTGAACCCACTTCAACTGTGCCAAGTGAAAACTTTGCAAAGTTTGAGGCAATTTCAACAGGAGCCACGTCCCTACCTTCATCATACGTAGGTACTCCTTGGCTTGTTCCCGGTCCCCGCGGCGCTTGGCCTCCAGCGCGGCCTCTCGAAACAGTTTCTGCCGCTCCAACAGGAACTCCATTTGCTTGTCGATGGTGGTCGACAGGCCCCGCCGCACTGCCAAACGTCGTTTCCGGCATTTCAACAACGACTTGACGCTCGCCCAACGTAGAGCTATTGTATGTTCCTAGAGTACCGACCGCTTTGCGGCACTGCAGTCGATGGCCCGAAAATGGCGGCCCCGTGCAATCAAATTGTGTCGGAGCTGGCGGAGTCTGCTAGCCAGTGGGCAAACGGTCCAGGCATTCTGTCCTTGCGGATTAGACTATATATATGTGCTACTTGATAACCTGGTAAAAAGCTACGCTCCTATCACCTTCCGACCGGCTGTAATTCACCGGCTGTTCGGAGCTTCTATATAAAATGTTTTAAGTATGTTTCCCACTCTTGTTTACTCCCTCCTGGGTTTGAGATGGCCATCATCTGCCAATCGGAAAGATCAAGTGGCTTGGTTCTCAAGTGCGAATCGACACTATAGATTGTGGTACTCTGGGGACATTCTGTGGCTCTAGTTGTACATAGTAAGAGCACTGCCATGCAAATGTAGCACCGAAATTGCACGAACTGAGCAGCGACTCCCATTAGAGAAATGCAATATGAACAGCCTAGTGCTCCAACCGGGTCATCTGCACAAATTGATGCGGTAGTCGACTTCCAACTTTGTTTGAGTCATACTTTACGTGCGTGAATAGGCAAATTGAACAATTTTAATGCCGATTCAGCACAAAGTCAAGAGAATCCGAACACTGCAACAACAATTTTTAAAAACATGGCGTCAATAAAGTCACTCTTTAAAGAAAGCAAGAAAAAATTTAACTCTTCTGCACATCCGACTCACGTGGCTTTTTCTGAGGAGCAGACGGTCCCGGTTTGGTAGCTGGACTGGCTGCGGCTTGCGCTGGCCTGGCAGGAGCTGGCCTCGAAGCCGGCTTAGGAGCTGGTTTTGGGGGCTCTGGCTTGGGGGCGGGCGCTGCCGCTTCTTGCGGTACGGGGATCGGTCCGAAACCTAAAGGGTGCAGGCAGCCCAAGTTTAACTTAAGCTAGTAGTTGAACTAAACTGAGCTGCAAGAATACCTAAAGAACTATCGAGCTGGTGGTGATTCATGGTAATAAAACCTGAGACTCAGGAACACAGAAGCGGACAAACACAACACAATGTGAGACGTTGTGCTCTGTTCGTCCCCTTCTGTGTTCCTGAGTCTCAGTTTTTTATTACCATGAAGCTGAACTAAATGTTAAGGCAAGCCTAGAGTCACGAAAAAAGCTACTCTTCAGAGTAACGACAGTTTGGCCATCTTGCTGCTTAGAAGCATTGTTGCCAGTTACCTCATGTTATCTGAAACCACAGGAAACAAAATTTTTGTCCTCCAGAAATATTAATGCTTAAGTCACATTTTTAAAGCGCATCAATCGCCAATTGCACCTGCTGTGCACCAAGTAACAAAATGGTGGAACCTACAAGTTAATTGGGAAGTGTCCATAGTCTAAGCGTAGCATATTCAGGGCTCCGGGTAAGCTATACGTATCAGGTCTCACCTGGTGGAGCTGGCAGCTCCTCAAAGTCAACTGGTTTCCCAGCCTTGTGCAGCTTAATGGCATCCTCATATTGCTGTGAATAAAGCCGACGTCATTTGTATGTGGATTACGCTCGGCAAAACAAACAGAATTCAACCAAAGTAAAAAAAAATAATTATGTTATTGCCAATTTTTTACATATTTGTTATTTGGCTTTTGTTTAAGTGATAACAATTTCATGACAAACTAAGATTTAAAGAAATGTACATATTATACCAGTACACAATACATGCAGGATACTAGTCCAGTGTTGTGATCGGCCTAAGCCGTCTGGGAGCACCTTTCGGAGCAGCCAAAACAGTGTTTTGGAGCAGCAAATGTGGCCTTTGGAGCAGTCAAGACAGTGTTTCCGAGCAGCAAATGTGGTTTTGGAGCAGCCAAGACAGTGTTTCCGAGCAGCAAAAGTGGCTTTTGGAGCAGATATTCTTAGAAAAATAAAAATATTTGTTTTAAGTGCTGTACAAACGAAGGGCACTTTGTATTGTGTTGTGTTCTGATGTAACGTGTTTTGACGGAACTCGCTGCTTCTGTTTTTACTGCTCAGACATCCCACAAGTGAACAGTGCTGTAGGCATTGCCGAGCAATTCCGAAAAACCGCTTGCCACCGTTTTACTGCATGGTTTCCTATACCCGCTTGCCACCATTTTATTGATACCCGCTATAGGTAAATGAGAACCAAACTGCACATATTAAAATTTATCTGAAAATGACCAACTTAGTAGTACATATTAGATCATTAGGTTGACTAGTTATATAAATGAAAGCAGTCTCCAACTAATGAAACACGTGACCACTGCAGTGCAATGCGAAATTGTCGCACGAGCGGAGATGGCTGTTCGATTGGAATCATGCCACTCCGCTTCGTAGCCAACTGGTTCCCAAAATTGTACACAAAATGTAACTGTCCAGCAAACAAAAAAAACAGTCCAGCGGCACATGCTTGCCAGGCCGGCAGGCAAGGTACAAGCTAAACGCACACACACAAAAAAAAAAAAAAGAACTTGAGCACATTGATGCAAGACATCACGAGCCAGGGCCAATAAGTTCTTGGAATGCTTTGTGCAACGACTGAACCCCAGATAAACAAGCGCGCTGTGCGGGTTCAGCGTGCAGACATTGCCTTCTTTACTGTAGCTCACTTCTCTTCACCAACTTTCTTTTGCGGCAGATTTTTCATGTACTGGGGTCCCTCTCGAAAGAAAGCCCACCGAGAGAAACCTAGGTAATCAATACTTTGACACAGCAGCCTTTGAGTTAAAGAAGGATTTTTGTAGTAGCGTATGATCTAAACAACAGGAATTTTTATGAACATGTGGAGGTACTCAGTTGCATTTTAGGAAGCGCCATATCTGCATCGACGTGGGGACGGCAACATCGGACGTCGCGCGACCATGGTGACTGGAAGGCAGGGACCAAATATTGTTTTCCCATGGCCGTTGCCTTCAGGAACGAGTGCTTCAGCTCACAAAGTAACTAAAAAAAATTGGCTTGCTCTGTATGTTTATACAGCCTTGATGGAGATACGCCTCAACGGGTAATTGGTCTCTTAGCTGTAGATGAGAAATTTAGCCAGTGCAGTACAACCGCTAACCTGGGATTTTTAACGTGCATCACGCATTAGTGATTACACAAACGCCTGCCGGTAAGAAACTCATCCAGATCGAAACGGGTGGGGGCGGTGGGGATGCGAACACAAAGTTACTCCCACCCACACCCGCCAAGCAAAAACATGGTTTCGTTTCAGAGCATGAAGGCATGGCTGGTACCCGGCACGCTAGCGTCAGAGTGTCCGAACTAGTGATGCAAAACTATCGATAAATCGACTATCGATACTATCGATAGTTTTGGAAAAACTATCGATAGTGTCGCAGAACTATCGATAGTCGACTATCGATAGTACTATCGATAGTTTTTCGATAGTCGACTATCGATAGTCGACCATCGATAGCTTTTCGATAGTCGACTATCGATAGTACTATCGATAGTTTTTCGATAGTCGACTATCGATAGTACTATCGATAGTTTTCCGATAGTAAGCTATCGATAGTACTATCGATAGTTTTTAGATAGTCGACTACCGATAGTTTTTTTTACCACCGATAGTCAGATTTTTGGCGGCTATGGAGACTATCGATAGTACTATTGATAGTTTTGCACCACTACTAGAGCGAACACAGTTGCCACACCGCCACTCGCCTGACCTTCCTCCTCTTTTCACCCAAACTCCCGTCTTCGTCATCACTGAAAGCTGAACCAAAGTTGGGATGGTAAGTTCTTGGGCTAGTTGGTGTGCGATTTGAAAAAAAAAGCAAGAAAAAGAAAAAAGGGAGCGACGCAAACTGCTAGTGTCGGAAAACTATCGATAGTAAACTGTCGACAGTACTATCGATAGGTTTAAGATTGTCGACTATCAATAGTTTTCCGATAGTCGATTAACGCTATTTTTCCGAGAGTCGACTATCAATAGTTTTTTTATAGTCGACTATCGATAGTACTATCGATAGTTTTTCGATAGTCGACTATCGATAGTACTATCGATAGTTTTTCAATAGTCGACTATCTATAGTACTATCGATAGTTTTTTTACTATCGATAGTCCGATTTCTGGCAACTATCGATACTATCGATAGTTTTGCACCACTAGTCCGAACACACCTGCGTCTGTCGTTACAAATATTAAAAAAAAAAAAAAGGTGTGAGACGAGACGCACGAGACGACGAGAGCGCGAAACGCGTGACGGCGGGAAAACCATGCAAGACCAAATGGACAATTGATGCAGGGTACTTTGTGTCGGGCGGCCGCTTGCGCCGCATAACACACACCTGCTCAATTACGGTAATCAGTTTAGTTTCGGTTTTGAAAGGCGACTGAAATAGTTTTTCTGGCGCGACTACCCATATTTTGGCAAAATGTAGCATAATGTAGCAGGGTTAGCCCTTTGGCGCAGTTTGGCGCAATTGGCGCAGCAATCACATCACTGCTAGTCTTAGTGGTCACAGACCCAATCTACTTACTATAACATTTTCTCAACTTTGGATGCAGGGTTTACAGATGAAAAAAAGTCTCAGTTTAGTGACACTCTAGTTATAGTCAGAATTTGTTCCGATGAAAACTTATGCCAGCCGTACAAATGACTCATGATCAGCATAGTTATATCTGGGTAAAAATTTAGTGGGCTAATTACACAGTGAAAAGGCTAACCCCGCATCTCAAATTCTCAGATAATTCTGAACATCACAGTGCTAAAGTAAGTTACGAAAAATGGCTCTATTGTTTAAAAAATTGTTTGAAAGAACACAAGTTATGCCCTAAAGCTTTGTAGATTTTTTTTTTTTTTTCCGGTGCACCGTGCGACACATGATCTTCTAAGAATTTATAACATTTCAACAAAAATTCCATCTGTTTTGGCAATAGACACTGGTGGAAGGCAGCTGTTCTTCCGTTAACCTAACCTTAGGCCACCCCTTTTCTGAAGGAAGCACTTGTTCCATAACTTTTATCTGCACTAGATTGGTGGTGTGCGAAACGTCAAGCTCAGCACTGCAGTTCAGGTGGCATTTCAGGGTATGGACAGTTATCGTTGCCCTCTCATCTACCAGGATCTTTCCATACAGCATATCAATTAGGTATTCACATCCTCTCCAGGAAAGCAGAAGCACAGGCCAAAGCTCATAACACATGAAAGCACTCTTCGACTTGCAACTACAGGTTTCTCTTGAAAGGGAGTCCCCAGAAAAAGAAAGAAATAGGGAGCTCTACCCAGAAATAAACAAAATCGGAAAATCTCCTCAGAAATAAGGAAATTGCTTAAGAAATGGGGAAATTTCCTTGGAAATAAAAATAGGGATCCTGAAAGAGATGGGGAGAAGACCCCAGAAATGGGGAGAAACGGGTAGAGACCTTGACAATGCGGCCGAGACGCCGAACTTTCCGGTCGTCTCCCTTCCCCTTGGCCTCTGTGATGGTGCTCTGGTATTTCTCCAGTCTCTGCTGCAAGGCCTCGAGAACGCTGGTCGGCGGCGGAGGTGCGTTGAACAGCGAGGGATCATCGTCTTGCACTGGTAGTGTCAAGGAATGAACATTGGTAAACGGTATTTCAGAAAAGTACTATGATACCAACATTCCACTCACATCCCAAGCACCAACAAGTTGCTCTTCGCTTCTTGCATACCGCAACTGAACTTCTGCCAGACTTCCATTAGTGCAACTTTCCGTGTCTTTTTTTTTTCTCTTCAAGATATGGACAGCGAGGTCCCTATACCCAGCACCAGCCATTTGTGGCAAAAGCTGCAGTAAATGCTGCATTCCAGAAAACAAACTTTTTTAGTTTTTTTTACGTGCAGAACCGATTGCCAGAAACCGATTTCGGCATATTTAGGTCAGTCGAAAATGGGAATGTGGAAACCTATCTGCTTCAAAGGATGACTTATACTTTGTGCTTTCCCGTTTTGCTCGCTCACTTCTTTTCCACGTCCTTTCCCCTCTTCACCTTGCACCAATGTGGCTGCCTTCGCATTTTAAGGGAGAAGGAAACTAAAAGAATTATGTTTTCCGCAAACGGCCGCAGGTGTAAGTCGGCCTTCAAAGGAAAACTTCATTGAAACTCCGGTAGATTACGTGCAAAGAGATGTTGCACTTCCCTAGAAAGACAAGTGACCAAAACAGAGAAAAATGACTCACCATTCTCATCAAGATACGCAGGGAAAGACGGCTCGTCTGCTCCAGCCACAGGAACCGCGACGGCAATGGGAACGCTAGGAGGCCCCGCAGTGGATGCCGTAACTGCAAGACACAAACGTAAGAGAGTAAACTAATAGTGCCAACTATAATAGAAAATACTATATGTATGGTCTGCTCCCTGATATGGCAAGGTGCAGGCACAGGCTTGCGACCTTGTAGAGTGGTTTATGTAGCTTACTCCGAGCCTGCACTAAACAATCTAGATTTGACTGCCTTCCTCCAAGGACACCCTTTTCTCTTAAAAAACATCGCAACGAAAACTGCTCCTTCAGCTTTTGGCCAAAGCCATTGAACAATGACCCTCCATTCACACCGAAAATAAAGAAGAAAAAAAGGCCTTTGGAGGTTATCGGCTATGAGCAAAGGTGAGACGATTGTCACTGCCTTATTTAGGGCAATGGCAATCATCGTCGGCCACCAGCAAAAGCTATAAGCACGCACCACTTCCTTTTGCACACAACTCAGCTGCAAAAACACTCGTGCAGCAAGAATTCTTATCAAGGCCCTCCATTTACACCAGTGGCCTTGGCTTCAAGATCTACAGCAAGGAAAGACGAAGTAAAGGAGGGGCCGGTTGCACATCGAACTGAGCCAACATGATGGCTAGACCTAGGTTGACGATGTCACGGAGCCCGTAACAAGGAGGTTTGTTCAGAGAAGTTGACTATATAATATCAGCTCAGTCATACCTACTCAAGAAGAAGAGAAAGAGAGGAGAGGGTAGTACCAAACTCTTGGTTTCAGAGCCTGTGAGAATAGGGGAGATTACGTATTGAGCAACAAGCATCACAAAACTTGCTGCCTTTCCACTCTGGTGAAAGACCCGCGAAGCTGCACTATGATGGAACAACCTCAAGAACGACTTCTTGGATGACCTCAACGACGACGCCTAGAGGACGTCTAGGACGACCTCAAGGACAACGTCTTGGATGAACTCAAGGACGACTTCCACGACGACCTCGAGGACGGGATCAGGGACGACGTTTAGGACGACCTCAAGGACGGCGCTTAGGATGACGTCTAGGACAACCTGAAGGACAACCTCAAGCACAACCTCAAGGACGACTTTTAGGACGACTTCAAGAACAACGTCTAGGAAGATCTCAAGGGCGACTTCTAGGACGACCTCAAAGATGACTTCTAGGATGACCTCGAGGACAACCTTCCGGACAACTTCAAGGATGACGTCTAGGACAACCTCAAGGACGACATCTAGGACGACGCCTAGAGAAATTCAGCCTTTCCACACTGGTGAAAACCAGAGTGGAAAGGCTGGAAAGGTTGCCGCCATCTATGAGCGAGGCTGGCAAGCTGGTTGCCTGGTTGCCGCTGTCGCTCAAAGATGGCGGTAGCTGTCTAGAGTTTTGTGTCAACATTTGTTCGGTACTAAACACGATCCTCGGAAACCTAGCTCTTAACAGCTCCGCTGTAAAAACATTCTTGGTCCACAAGTACATTGTCAATGCAACAAAACAAAAAAAAGCAAAGTAGTAGTGCAATAGTGCTGGCAGGAAACACCAAAAAAGAAAAACCGCAGAAACTTCTGCTAAGAGACTCAGTTCCTTGAAGGCCCCTGTCTCACTTCAAAATATCCAGCAGGTTCTTTTCAGAGCCAAGGCAACAAATGTGACAAGACCAAAACGAAGCTCACCAGCAAACTCTGGGGGAGGAGGGGGCATCTTCGTGAGGTCCACCGGCTGTCCTTGTGCAATGGCAGCTAAAACAGTGTCGAATTGCTGCAACGTAAAAGGACCACATCAAACAATACCACATGGTGCAGTGCCAATTACGCAGTCCTACACAAAAGTATTACCTACAATTCACGAGATATATAAAGTTGAAAGAAAAAAAGCTCTCGCACCTAATGTGCAAACACAAGGTACATGGTTAGAAGCAGCACCATGATTCTGTTTCTCCTTTTGGAAACTTTGTCAACGGGCAGCTGGGTGGATGCAGGAAGCGCTGTGTTGTTCATTTAGACAGTGGGAAGTGGGTCAGCCATGATGGGCATCTGCTGTCTACGCTGCAGATGAGAAATTCTGCCGATGCAGTACTACTGCTAGCCTGGAATTTCAACGTACATCATGCAGTAGGGATAGACGATCAGACACCAATACGATGCTCGTCCAAATCAAAACGGGCAAGGGAGGGGACCGAGCCCAGGATCCCCGGGTTCAAAAGCTCCGAGCTGCCATGCACTGACACAACAGCCATTGAACACTGACACCAGTCTCCAAGACATTTACAAGAAGGACCTTAGGAGAAGGCAAAAACAACTGCGACCCCCAAGGGTCCCCGTGCATGCATTAAAACCCTCGGTGGCAGATAATGGCGTAGGGCCAAAAGCACCCACCTTGGCCGTTCGGATGTACTTGATGGCGGTCTGCTGGTCTCCGCGCTTCTTGGCGCTGAGCGCCGCGTGCTTGTACTGGTCCCGTCTGGTCGTCAGGGTATGCTCCGTTGAACCGGGGGCCGGAGCGGCCGCTGCAGTCGGCTCGCCAGACAAGGAACCCGAACCTAGAGCAACGTCGGCCACACTAACGTTGGTTCTCTAAGGTGGGGGTTCTAAAACGGGGTCTTGGAACCCAGGGGTTCCCCGGAGCACCCTCATGAGTTCACTCAGCTCCCAAATTACCTCAGCCGTCCCTGCCCTTAAGTAAATTGTTTTTCCAGTTTAAGCACCATTCTAGCAGACCTGAGCAGGGCGTCTAGTAAATTATTATTTTTAAATTCCTTTACTTTTCCAGGTTTTCCAAATTTCAGGTGAAATTCCCTGACCAGTGTAGAGAGGGTTAAATATACAAGACCATTACAACACAAGGCATTGAGCATTGAGCACTGTGAGGATCATTTTGCACGGGCTCAATCCAACTTTCATATTCCAAAATATTCGGGTTCGTCCAGTCCATATTGAACAAGCACTTTCTCGCCGCCGACATCGACAGTGAAGAGGCCATCTTCCAGAAACACAATGAAAACACGACGCTCAACCACACACGTCAATAACCGAATGGCAGCATGGCCGCCAGATGCACCCTTTCGGAAACTTTAGGCTTAAGGCTTGGATTGGATTTGTTGGCTGTTCCCTCTGCATCGGGTAGCACACTCTACATCGGGTGAGCAGAGCCCGCGCCCTGCTCTAAGCAAATTAGATTGCCTATTTTTCTGCCCCCAAGTCCTCAAGTCTTTGCTCAAGGCACTCGATGGTGTTTTCGGCTCATTTTCCCTGACTGGGCTCGCTTTTTGACAATATCCCTGCCAATTCCTTCATCTTTCCCAGTAATATAAAATTTTCCTAACAATTCCCGGTTTTCCCGGTCGCTAGACACCCTGCCTGAGTCACCCATGGATGCGTAAGTACGAGCCAAACACTCCCTAAGGTGTGTATTACTAGGAAGCAGAGCGTTTCTTCGGCTACAAGTTCAAAGAGACAAGGGTTCCGCGATGTCGACAAGTTTGAGAATTCCTAGAGTCAAGATGCAAGTATACCTCTGCAATGGTCTTCTTCAACTTTGGTTAACATATTTTTTTTTTTTTTTTTAAGATACTGTGGGCCAGCAATGCAGCCCCAGCAGGAGTGGATGCAGTCGTATGCGCACAAAGTTTGTTCTACAAAGTACCATTTAGGCAAAGTGATGCGAAATTGGGGAGCTGAAATTAAGTCAATTCTAAAAATTATATTCCACAATAAGGCCCCTCCGCAACACTAATATATTCAACTGAATATATTAGTGAAAAACAGCGTGACTGGGACGAGGAAAAAGAAGAGAGATACACCGGACAAGTGCGGACTAGCAACTGAAATCTTATTACAACAGAAACACTAAATTGTGTTTCTTTCTTCTGCACATCACTCATCTTTGTCGTCGTCCCAGTTGCGCCGTTTTTCACTATAAACTCCTACCAACTCGTCCAATGCCGATCCTGAATATCTTGGAAACGTTAAGGCAAATAAACTAACTTTACAAGCGAGCAATTCTGGACGCCTTCCAAAAGCGGTTTGTGGCATCGTACAACCTCGCGAGCCTTCTTGTAGGATTTTATAGTCCCAGTTCATACGCTTACGACAAGCTCTTTTTCTGTTACGTAATGAATATGCGCAGAAAGAGATGAAAGCGTCGAGCAAACAAGAACCACAGGCATAGCAGCACTGGACTGGTTAAGAGACGAAAATGAGGCTATAGTCACTGACAAGGTGAGGACAGCAGGGAGGTCTTTCACTTCTGTGCTGGACGCCGGGCGTTCCAAAGACGCACCCTGCTATTCTTTTCTCAGTGACTACAGGGGCTGATGACCAAGACGAAACTTTCACCATCTCCGTTTGGGATATCAAAGACAGGACTAAGACTTTGCTAGTTTATTCCCCATCAAAATTGCAGTCAAACAAGCCGTGGTACGACCACTTTTACTAATGCAGAGACTCGACTGCAAGGCTTGGATCGAAAGCAACTGTCTCGAGTGAAAAAGAGCTGTAAAGGGCGATTCCTGTCTTACGGGGTGGCGCCGGGGGTGCCGGTCTGTGCTGTGGCCTTGGCGGTGCGACCGGAGCCGCGTCGGGGGCTGAGGGAGCAATCCTGGGCGGATCCGGAGGAGGGGCCGCCGACGGAATGGGGACCGAGGGCAGAGGCTCTTCTGTCATGGGCGAGATGACGATCAAAACGGGAACTTGTGACTGGGGTTTCACCTTTCAGTACGTACCGCTGAACTCCGAAAACTAACCCCCCCCCCCTGCCCCTGCCCCTTCCCCCCTTCCCCCGAGGCTGTTTTACGTATCAAAATCTGGGAAAACCAAACAGTTTCGAATTAGAGCTGTCCTCGAGAAGAAGAAAAAAATAAACCAGGCTTCACGGGAAAACATCTTTATCTACAGCTATATTTTGCATTGACATGGAGAATGGCCCACACTGAACTGTCCACAAAGATGCTTTCTTCTTAAAGGGGCCCTGCAATCATATTTAAGCGTCTACCTTTTTTGCGGTTTCCATGGCTCTGGGGGTTCGGGCAGGCCAGCGGGCACAGAGAGAGTAACTAATTATCAGTGCGTCATATTTTAACCGGACTAAGCGGAAACCTCCTCCACCGACGAGGGTGACCTGCGGTACCGAAAGCGCGCAAAATGTGACGTCTTTGGTCCTAGGCTTACTACTGGTCAGGGCCGCTAAAAGCTTCTTTTTAGTCGAAATACAAAATATAAGTGGCGCAAACCGTTTCAATTATTTATAAAAGTAGTTTTTGTTCAGTATTTTAGATCAGAAAAGAAACGAATGCAGTTTATAAAGTACGGAAACAAGAAATGACCCGTCGACAGACCCGCCACCAAGCGGTGGAAAAGGTGGCGCACACTAGAAAAGAGTAGTGGGATCAGGTGCCGACACGGAAAGGTCCCGGATGTACGCGGCGGCGCTGCGGTCATATGGACAGGAGGATCCAACCGGCTCCAAGCGTTCCGAAGGCCTTTGGCAAGAAGCCTTGTCTTGCGGCCGTTTCGCGGTATGGCAGCGCGAAGTAGCTCCCATTTTGAACTGATCTTTACCCCGTGTTTGCCGTTGTTTGTGACCAATGAAGTGTCATGCCGAATTAGTGTTTAATCGCGCAGCAAATGCAATGAGAGCCGCCGTGGCTCCCCGCTGCATACAGCCTATCCAGAACATGCTTTAGTGGCGCCCTCTCGCGCCGTCGACACAGAGTGCGGCAGCCGTGAGCGCTCGCTGAGCTCACTACTCCTCCTCTAGTTCACGGCCACTCAAACAACCAAGGACGTCATGAGGGAGGTTATTTTTTACTTGTTCTTTGTAATTTTAATTTACCTATAACTTTTAGAATAAAGCAAAATTTGAGAAAAGAAAAGTTTTATTAAGTTACTAAGGTCAGTGCGCTCAGGTTTGGTGCAAATTAAAAACAAGTAAAAAAGTGCTTGCAGGGCCCCTTAAGGAACCACACCCTTTATCCCGTTTTTATTTCGTTATCGGTTCCGGGATGTGCTCTTAGTACTTGCGTCAGCACTAGTTCTTAGGTTGGGGAAGCCCATGGCCACGTCCTGCTTTCTCCAACATGAGCCTCTAAGAAGGCCAATTTCTCGTTCAACGCCCAAAAATAAACACCAAAAAACACTGAAACTCTGAAAAGAAATAAAAAATATAAACCCTGAAAAAAACATTCTGAAATTCAAAGAAAAATAAACCCTGAAAACATGTGACCCTACCTATTTCCAACTGCAGACATCCTCAAAACATCTTCGGGCCTTGAGGAAGACCTAGTTTACCTCGAAAGTACCCACTAGAAGAAGCTCTTTTACGACTGCCGGCATATTTTTTTCGCCTACCCGCCACAAATTAAGTATTTCGTCGCGTGGGAAGAGGCGTGAACTCACGGGACGGTGCAGAAGGAGGCGCAGACGCAGATGCCGCCTTCGGAATCGCGACAGGAGGTGGTATGTCCTCCTCGCTGATGGCGCCGCCGGCCCTTGCTTTCTTCACCAAAGACTCGAGTGTCTGAAACAAGAGAAGAAAGAAGTTTAATCATACCCTACTACTATTCACATTTTTTTTTTACAAACACAACCACGCATTAAGCTGAGCATAAGACACATTCAAGATGAAGACCCAAGGCCAAGCCATTCGAAAACAACAAAGGATACAAAAGAAGCCTAAAGCAAGACTTATTTTAGTCGTCGTCCTTTTTCTTTGCATGTTCGCTGTGAACTCATGCTAGCTCGTTCAATTAACCAGACAAGTGAAACATCCACAGTCGAGTCGTTTGCTTCCGTCTCACTGGCCCCAGGTTTTCATTTTGAGTAACCCTCTTTCTTGAACCAAAGCAAGTGTGCAGGCAAGCTGGTTCAATACTAACGTGACAACCCAGGAGCGAAGGAAAAACAGGACGGAAAACACAAAGCTCCAAAGAGCTTTGTGCTGTCGTCCCATTTTTCCCCCGCTCCTAACTTGCATATCACTCCTTTTTGAGGTCTAACAGTAGTGAGTCACATCACAGTACAGCCAAAGCAGCACCACATGTAAATTGCATTATGCAACCAAGTTTGAAGTACCCAGCAGAGCAAGTAGAGACCATTATTTATTCATTATTAATACTGCCGATCTGACAACCTTTGACCAGTTTGGTAGAGGCCATGGAGTTGCACCTTAGCCAGTTTTCTGTTGGTGTGCCAGGGAATTTCTCTTTATCAATTTTGTAACCACTCTTACAATAGCACCTTGAGTGGAGCTGTTAGCATTCTCAAATAAAGGAAATAAATATAGCAACATTAGCATCGCAGGGACAAGGCCAGAGGGGTGCTAACCTTGATGGCGCGGCCGAAACGTCGGACCTTCGAAGTGTCACCCGCGGATTTGGCTGCAGCTTCGGCTGCCAGGTAGTTCTGCAGCCGTTCCTGCAACATCTCAACCTGGGATAACTCCCCGCTGGGCTTCGGAGCAGGTGCCGGCTGTGTTACAGGCCTGGAAGATTCAGAGCAGTTGGACTAGTCAGTTGTGCATCATGCTTCAACAGAATACCATCTAACAATCCCCTAATTCAAGCAGGACCGAAACCACTATTTTATCTTCAAGACCATAGTCTGCACCTGTTATGTAACTTGGAAAAGCACACAAATAAAAAAAAAGGCTTTTCTTTTATAGAGTACACCTGGTACATAGTTTGCACCAGTTGCATAGTTCACACATAAAATACTTATACACAGCACACACTGAGAAATACTAGGCCAGAGCCATTACCCTAAGTAGAGCTATAACTGGTGTAAAAACAGGGAAGAAATGGTTACCTAGGCGGTAACACAGGTACTGCACCGGGTGTTGGTCTGGGTGCAGGCCTAGGTGGTGCCCTATCTTCTTGTTGGGGTGCCAGGTCTTGCAACTCGGCCTGTTTTCGTACAACAAACATAAAAAGGAGCCCAACCTCCATCACCGCGAGCAGCGCAAAAATAGATTATTTGCCCAATTACCCCAGCATTAAAGAGGATGCTGGGAACGTAGGTACACGTACCGCATGTGCTCGCCTGCCCATAAAAGAGTAATAACCAAAATAAAACATTCGTGGAGGAGTGTGCATGCAAAGTATCATTCGTTTCAGGTTTTTGCTTCCAAACAGTTACGGCGAAAAGTGCCAGCATGTGGAGATCGCGTACCTACATTCCCAGCATTCTCTTTAATGTTGGGGTAATTGGGAAAAAAGGTCTATTCCCTGTCTTTCGAATTGCTCGCCCGAGAACTTCACCAACTGCTTTCGCTTTTTGCTCAATATCCTTCGCTTTGATCAAAAAAACCAGTTCACACACCTGCATTTGGGCAGCGCCATGCACGTTGTGCCCGCCTATGACGCGAAAACGCACTGGCAACCTGGTACCATTCATGTGGCAGCCCTAAAGCATATCTGATCTACGTACAGATTTCCTACCTCCTTACACATTGTTCTTTCACCGTGGGCTTCAAAACATTCTGACAGCCTTTAAAGGGATACTAACGAAATTTTAGCGCTTATTCTATGGTCTATATGTGTTCAAAGGAGCAGTATCACATCGAATACACCAATATCTTGTTAAAAATTCACGAAAAGGAATTTTAAAACGAATTAAACGATTAGCAAAGAGCACCTGGTGGATGTCGCTAACGCCTCGTTTGTAATGCCCATCTAGGAACCTTAAGTGATGGTGAGTGTCTTGCCTCCAGCCACGACGAGAGAAGAGGAGGAGGAGGAACTCGCGTCTCCCCGAGAATGCCTTTTGTGTGTTCCAGAAGTAGCTATTGTCCCACTACAAGATTATAAAAGATTAACCCGTCACTCAAAATTCGTACAAAAGCAGCCGCTTCGGTGGCTGGAACGACCAAGCCATCCCCTCTACGTCAGCCTCGCAGTAGCTTTGCTCGTCCCCAGACGACCTACGTCACAATTGCGTAGGATCTCACGTGCTCTAAGCTGGGCCTTCTCCGAGCACTTGCTAGAGTGGGCCATTTACAACAAAAAACTACTGCCACCAGGCTCAAAATACAAACGTGCGATTGTCATTTACGGATATTGTGGATCATATTCAACCTATTTTTGAACACGACAGATATATTTCAAATTTCGTTGAAGTATCCCTTTAAAGCGACCATTCCTCATAGACGATGCGCAGATTCAAACTAAAAAATACCGCAAAACCCTCAGTCTAGTCGTACGCAAATCGTTGTGTTCCGGGACTGGCCAAGAGATGGTGCCAGCGTGCCCTCTCCTTATGAGCAGTCACAAAAGGTTGCGGTGCACTCGGCCACAAACGTGCGAACCACCCTCAACATTCAGACAATCTAAACTAGAGGGCCAGGGCCAACAAAACCTACAAACTACTTGGCACTGCTGGAAGTTTGGATTGACGATTGCCATCCACTAGGTCAACATTTGCAGAAACACTGCAGGCATGATCAAATCAAATCAAATCAAATTTATTCGTTGTCACATTTTACATGACAACAGGGACTGGGGCAAAAAGCTGCTAAAGAGCAGCTTGACAAGGGTCCCAGCCCCCGTACAGTTTGCGACAGCTTCAAACAATTTAACGACTAAAATTTAGTTTACAACTACACAGTGTACAGAGACTAGTACACACCAATGCAGAAACTTGATTTATACAATACTAAATTTGTTGAAAACATATAGACGAAAAACACACAGGCCAGTGAAAGAAGAACTCGAATAATTAAAGCAATGATACAATCGTACATGAAATAATACATCCAGTTCATAACGAAAAATATCAGCAGTATTCAAAAATCGCCTAGAAAAGTAAGTTCTTTTAATTCCCTATGTGATAGTGATTCAAAATGGCGACCTTTTCTGTACAAACTATTTAACATGGTGGACAATCTGAAATGGAGCGTCTGATTTAGGTAATTTGTACGCGTTGGGCGAATCATCCAGGGTTCATTTTGTCTTAGGTTGCGTAGGATGACGCGATGTTTTAGGTTGACTAGTTTAATAAAATGAACATTATTGTGTTGAAGAGCCCTGCGATACGTTGACAGAAGCTTGTAAGGATACATTTGCTCAACGGTTTTGACATTTAGGGATTTAAATAGTGATTTAGTTGGATGAAGAAATGGAGTTCCTGAAATTGCACGTACGGCCTTCTTTTGTAATAGATGCAACTTATTCAGATTACTTTTTGTTGTGGTGCCCCATATCAGGTTACAGTAATTTAAGTGAGAAGAAATTAATGTATTATATATAGTTAATTTAATTCGAGTAGGAAGTAAACTTTTAAATCTTGTAAGCAGGCCTACATTTTTAGATATTTTTGCTTGCATGTAGTCTATGTGTGCATTCCAGCTCATATCATAAGAAAACAACACACCCAAAGTTTTAATACAATCCACAAACTCAATTTCTTCATTGTTTATTGTAAGATGAGGTAGGTTAATTATTTTCCTATTTTTGGGCCTAAACAAAATAGCTTTGGTCTTTTTACAGTTTAATTTTAGTTTGTTGTTAAGCGTCCAGGCGGCGATTTTTTTTAGCACTTCGTGCACTGTAGCAATAGAAGTAGAAAGATTGTTATGGGAGAAAAAAATACTTGTATCATCAGCGTAAATTATCAGCTTTACATCATCGCTTTTGGCCACATGCACAATGTCGTTTATGTATAGTATAAATAGCAATGGGCCTAAAATGCTACCCTGAGGAACACCCGATTTGATAGAAAGCCTGTCCGAATGAAAATTAAGAAAAGACACGTATTGATTCCTATTTTCTAAGTATGATTTTATGAGATCGAGTGCTACGCCTCTTATTCCAAAAAATGGTAATTTGGCAAGTAAAATATCATGATCGATGGAATCAAAGGCTTTTGAGTAATCAAGAAAGACGCCTAGTGTCATCTTTCTTTCGTCAAAATCTTTCACAATTTGTTCTTTCTGGTTTAATAAAGCCAATTCGGTAGATCGATGTTTACGAAAACCGAATTGCGCATCGGAAATTAAAGCGTGCTTATCAAGATGTGTTATGAGTCTATTGTGTATTAGTTTTTCAAGTGATTTAGAAAAGACAGGAAGGACATGAAAACAAGTGCACTACGTGCTTCATTCCTTCTCAAACCCATAATTAATACTGCTCTATCTGGCAACCATGTTGCGCCACAACGACGTAGCACTTCGACGCACGCAGCTATTTGAGCAAGCCGTTCGAAGAGCTTCCAGCTTCCACTTAGAGAAATTGAGCTGGAGGAAAAAGGTTGGCAAAAACAAATTTAAACGAAAAAAACAAATTTTTAGAGCTATATTTACGACGCAAAACGAATTTGTAGTTGGCATCCACGGGAGCCTGCCGAAAATGGGCTGTTAAAGCCACGTGACTGGCCACAATTATCAAGTGCTGCTTGTGCTCTTTCGGGGAGCTTGCTAAGGGCTCTAAAAGTTACTTATTAATCTTCGGTTTAAGTGGAAAAAAAACACTTAATAAGTAATTTTTAGAAACCATAGGAAGCTCCCGAAAGAGAGCAAGCACCACCTGATAGACCCGTGCGCCGGTCATAAAATGACGGCAGCAGCGCGCCAGTGTTCCTTTCCGGCGGCGTGGGGGTTCTTGGGGACTTCAGCGGCGGTGCTGAACGGCTACGGCATAACCTACAGCTTCGGCGGTGCAGTGCAGCTGCGCGCAGGTCTACCATGGGCCTAGCGGCAGCCCCCGTGGGCACCAACTACAAATTTGTTTCCTGCTAGAAATATAGATCTAAATAAAATAAAAAATGTTTTCCATCCAAAATTATTTGATGACACCTTCTTTCCGTTCAGGCTGCATAAAAAAGAAAAAACATTTCCTTTGCATGTGTTTTTTTAATAATATACCAACGTGCTTAATCAACATTTCTACACGTTATGCAAAATGCTACTGACCACCAAGTCGGGGTCGTCTGACAAGTTGGCGTCGTCTTCCTCGTCCGTACCAGTGTCGTCCTTCATGATGGCTGCCGCCATCATCTGAATAGAACCCAGGTCCATCGCTGAAAGAATAAATTTGCATTTCGGTTATGTGTCTTCTGGTTCGAACCTTCCGTGTGTCACGGGTGTGCAAGGAAAACCGAAGATGCATTTAATCGTTTTACTAAATTATGGTGCCCAGAATGATTCTTCGATTGACGTGTTTGCCGTCCTTTCAAAAGTGGTCCCAAAGCGGCAACGAATTGCGTTTGTGCCGGGACTGTGTGATGTGCAACAGCGTGACATTTGCACGATGTCGTCAGGCGGAAATCGAGCGACAGACAATGCAAGAACAACATGATGCACTGCTAATTATTCCACCAAATCGACACGGCCTCTATTTTAGATGCGTGTCAGATTGGCAACGTGGGAGAAATTTCTATCACTTCTAGAGAAGATACAACAAAAAAAAAGGGGGAAATCGCATCAAGCCAATTGAAAGTTCATATGATTGGCAGCAATGATAAAAAAATTTAACAAAATAAAAAAATGGCCTTTTTCGATAAAGTGGGTTCAAAATATTGGTCAATCTCATTCTCATTTCATTTCATTTTATTACCTTAAAGACCCCCTTTTGGGGGTATTACATAAGGGTTGGAGTTACAAAAATAATCAAACATGGGTGCTAGTCTTCAGGAGGATAGATGATTGGTAACATTTTTGAAGAAAATTGATGGGCAGGTGATGACAGCAATGTGGTGAGGAAGGCCGTTCCAGTCTGGAGCTGCTCAGGGGAAGAATGACGCGGAAAAAGTGACAGTGCGAGCGCGTGGGCGAGCAACCTGGAGAGGATGACTGGTGTGGTGAGATATGCGTGCGGGAGGTACGATGTAAGGTGAGATACAGAGGGGGGAATTAAATAACTTGTGAAACAAACAGAGGGTGGCGATGCGGCGACGACAAGCGAGACTAAGTAAACCTGATTGAGCTTTCAGGGGTGATACGCTGGTACTGTACGAGTATGAAGAATGAATGAGTCTAGTAGTGCGATTTTGGACTGCTTCGAGTGCGTTGATGGGGTATACCTGGTGAGGGTCCCAGACGGTGGATGCATATTCAAGCTTTGATCTTATTAGTGATTTGTAGGCGAGTAGTCTTACTTCCTGAGGGGTGTGGCATAGTTGACGTTTCAGGAATCCCAGGGTTTTATTAGCAGATGAGGTAATGTTAGTAATATGCATACGGCAAGATAAATCGCTGCAAAGGGTGACACCAAGGTACTCATATGATTTGGTTAATTCTACGGGGGTGGTGGTGATAGTATAGGGAAAGAAAAGGGGATTGCGGTAGCGTTGAGGGGACATAACTTTACATTTAGTAGAGTTAAGTGACATTAACCAATGGTCGCACCATCGCAGAACGTGGTTAAGGTCGTGTTGGAGGGCAGATTGGTCCGATACGTTTGTGATAGAATGGTCGATTACGCAGTCATATCCAAACTTGCGAATATTACAGGATAAATGTTGCAATAAATCATTAACATATATTAAAAATAAAAGAGGACCAAGAACAGACCTTTGGGGGACGCCTGATGTGACTGGGATAAGATTAGAAGACTGGTTATAAACTAGGACAGATTGGGAGCAGTTGTTAAGAAATGTTTTAATCCATCATAAGATATTATGGTCTAAGTTCAGCTGAGCAAGTTTAAGCAGCAAGCGCTTATGAGGTACGATATTCCAAATTTCATATAAAAATATTTCGTGAAAATAAAATAAACTTATGCCTGCCGATAGCCCATGTATAGGACTACACCCGCATAGTATTTGGTAAGCAACAAATATAATAACTCATGAGTTACAAGGCTCTGAAGATGTCACCGCATTGTCAAAGAGCCGATGTTTGGCATTCTTTCTCAATAAACAAAAATACAAAAGTATTTTCCTTTGAACTAAAGATAGTCGAAATAACATACAAGAGCACAAAACATTACTGTGAGCTTTGTACGCTTTCCGTATTCATACCAGTGTAAAGAACTGGGTAGAAAAATCACGGGGTAAAAAACAGATTTTTACCCTGCTGCACTCAGTATTTTTTCCTGAAGCGAAATAAGTTTTTAAAAAATTTTGAAAAGCAGTTTTGTTCTTTGCAGAAGTGGGGCAATTACATATATTTTTTTTTTTTTATAATCGAAAGACCCACCCCGACAAGCGTGTTTGATTTCAAATGAAACCACCCAACAAACCTTTTTTGTTTGTTCTTTATTATTTTTATTTTTTATTTGGAGGTTTTTCAGATTTGGTACGGTTTGGTGACAGACAAATGATTGGCGTTTATTAGGGTGTATGTAAAAGAAAACAGGAAACGGGCATGGAATACACCAAACCCCAGGGCGCACATGTGACTTCAATACTTGAAAAATGTTCCGGATCCAATTATAAAAAGTAAACAAGACAAGGAATGCAGTTCCCGAAGGAAGAAGCGGTCTTGCAGACAGTTCAGTATGAGCTGTGTTCTGGATGAATGCACAATAAATGTGCAGATAGTAGATTTCTTCCAGTGAAACTTGGATCTTTTTTTTTCAAGGACAGCCAATATTTTGGGGTTTCTCGGTTCTCTCCAACTGTCACAAAACCAGCACGGGAACTGCTCTCGCTATTTGTCGGCACATTCCGAGAGCGTGGAACCTCAGCAATGACGCACCTGGTTTTGGGGCTGGCTTTTTGGGCTTGGCCTGAGACTTTCCAGACAACAGAGCAGAGAGCTCGGCTTCCAAATCCTCGTCGTCGCCATCCCCTCCGCTGTCGTCGTCACCTTCCATATTGTCCAAATCCGGAATGTCGAACAGGCCCAACTGCAGAGAGCGACCAGACGAGTTTGAGGTAAACCTTGTCCCGGAGTTCATATAGTAAAAGATCAGCCCTTCCATACTTTGTGGGGTCTAGAATTAATCTGGGGGGGTAATAAATCTCAGAAAGGTGCTCTGGAAGGGCATATACTTTTGGATTGTACACCATATGTATGAAATTCTGGGGGTGGGGGTTGGACTGAAGTCTGGTGGCATGTAAGGGAGCTGTTGGGAGGGGAAGGGGGTATATGTAAAGCACTGGTGGGGTCACACTCAGCTGGCTCAGAAGGGAAATTCACAACCTTCATGACCTACTGATAATACACTTCAACGCTGCGGTTTCATCCATTTTGGTGGCTTGTCCATCATAAGAACTTTCGCTATTAGTTCGAAACCGCAAATATGCTACTTCAAATTAAGCAACGAACCTACCACTGCGAGATGAATGAATACACAAGTCATATATATATATATATATATATACATATATATATATATATATATATATAGGTGTCCCTGATGTCACATCAGTAGCCACTGTGAAGGGCCTTGCTGTGGCATGTGTACCTTCTACGTCATACATATAGCACTACCAAATTTGTTTTTCTCAGCAAAAACAAGTAGGAATGGCTATTGATACAGTGCAACAATGTCACAGGCAAGATATATGCAGGAGGCATAGAGAAACTTGTCAAAGCGGTGGATGTCAGTGCAGAACCGTACCCTCTTTGCAGAGTTAATCCCTTTACTTCTTTGCTACCTTCGAAGTTGGGGATGGAAAGAAGCTAAGCAGATGATCTGTTTTGCAAGAAATCGAGTTCGTGTTGGTGTCATGTCCATATAAAACGTTTTAAAGACCAACACACAAGGTGAAATAAAAACTTGTCCAATTGTTCTGGATCGTTGCAGTGCCATCATCTTCCAACTAGTAGTAGTTAAGTAATTGCAAAAACCAATAAAGCATATACTCAGCAGCTTTTTTTAAAATTCGTTTCTGAGTAATTGTTGCAAAAAAATAAACTCGTAGGGTCAAGATAAACTAAGCCAATACAGTAAACAGCTATTTCTAGTAATAATAACAAAAACTGACTATTATTACAGCTCAAATTGACATATGCAAGTTTCGTCGCAGCAGCGAAGGTTAAGACAGATTATGCGGGACGATAGTCATGCTGTTTATCTGTAGTCGTGAACCAAAGGCAGCACGTTTTGCGCAATATCGCATGAATCGAGCAGCCAGGGGTGCACATTTGCGTACCAATGACGCAACCACAACTCCTTTTCGAACAACGGACAGTCACGCCTATTTTTTGCCAATAAACCGAGACGTTATCGGTGCAACCGTTTCGTGCAGGTTCGCGGGTGATTTTGACGTTTTTTTGTACTAGATGAAAAAGACCAATTTCAGCTTAGTGTTAAGCAAGGACGGTAAAGTTGTGAGAGCGCAGGTTTCGACTACTTCAGTCGGGATGCTAATCAAGCAAGCGTGAAAGTTCGCGAACAGTAGGAGTCATAAACACCTGCGCCAACGAATTCTTGCCAGCCCCGGACCGAGCCTTTGCACCTCCTGCTCTCTTTGCCATTTTCAGGGAAGTCTTTTTCAGAACATTACGATTAAAAGCAGAGCTCCGAGCACTGTCGCCGCAAACCCCAGCAACAGGAACGGTGGTTACTGCTTGCGATTCCGTCAAGAGATGGTCCACCCTGCTGCGCAGGCGCGCATTCTGCGCCGCATGCGTAGCCGTCGTGAGGAGAAATTCTTTACCGAGTGATATAATAGTTGGCTCGTCTTGGATTAGTCATACAGAGCTTTATTTCTTAGGCTACCTTTTATATCTGCAAGTTTTTAGAAAATATTTTTTTATTTTTTTTCGTGTTTTTTAGAATATTATTTTATTTATTATTTTATCTTCTACCACGAACAAAAACCCAAGGTCAACGGTTCAGCAGGTCATGCGAAGCAATCCGAACAGTTCGTCCAAACACACTGGGCCGTTCCCGTTCTTTGTTGTGTCGTTCACGTTGCGTAGCGGCGTAGCTCTCTTGTAACGGTCACGCGCGGCTCACTTTTACCGAAAAGTGGTCAAAATATCACCCGGGTACGGTATTCTTTTTGAACGCAGGACCTTTCTGAAGATCCCAAGAGCCACGATAATGAACGCCACGGGCTTTTCTCTCTTTCCCGTAGCTCTTCAAGCCGAACTGGACGACATGGACGCCGGTCCGATCCTGCGAGACATCATGCTGGGTGGAGGCGGACAGTTCGGTGATGACGACTTCGACCTCTCGGACTTTGCCCTGTCCGAACTGGCCATGTCCGCGACGGCCTCGGAACCCTCGGAAACCAGCCGCCACGACGGTCGTGAGGTATCCCCGCCGAAAAGTCCCGAGTCGACTACCGTACCGGCGGACACTGGACGGCGTTCCCGCGTTCGAGTGGTTAGGCCTAACTACGCCGTGCTCGCTGGCGGTAAGTCTCGAGGCCGAAGCAAGGGTGGTTCCGTGTCGAGCTCGGACGAAGACGGCCGCGGGTCTCCGACGTCCACGGGCGAAGCGGACGACGCGTACTTCTCGAGCCGCGGCAGCTGCATGTCCAAGAACGCGATCGCGGCCCGGGAAAATAGGCTTAAGAAGAAGCTCTACGTGCACAAATTGGAGCGGAGTGTCCGAGCCCTGACCACGGAGAACGCCGAGCTGAAACGGCGTACACGGGACATGACCGTCGAGGTCGAAGACCTTACTGAAGAGGTGCGGTACCTCAAGAGCGTGCTCGCTAACGTGGACGAAATATCGGCGCTGGTGCGGAACATTCGGAGCTCTAGGCCTAACGTTATGACATCGTTGAAGACCACGGGCAAGCGGAGACCTGTTGAAGACCACGACTACGTGGGAAGCAACGGTGGTGGTGGTGGCAGTGTTAAAGGTTCCAATTGTGCAGTTTCAGGGCCAGGTGGGAATGGCGTCTGCGTCCACGTCGCCGACGGAACCCTGTCGCTGGAGTTCTGTCACCGGTGTGCTTCGCAGTCCAAGAAGGCCAAACTCGAGGCCCAGACGGGCTGAGCCGCCATCTTGATGGTGGTTGCGACTCTGAACAGACGATGGTCGGTACAACGTGTCACCTCCCTTCTTCACTTTGCATGGAAGACGAGCCCTGTCGACCTACAGCAGAAAGAGAATGTGTAGCGAACTTGTAGCGCGTGTGATCTTTGAGTGGGGCAGACGCTTTGCTTTTCACGGCTTTCTTTCGTTACAGGTGAACTTCAGTGGCGGAGGCTGCTCATGAAGAAGGTCCGGGAGCTTTCGACTACTGTGTCTGTCAACCGCACTCTTCTGCCGATGGTTGGTATCCATTGCCTACCTGTCGAGCAGTGGAAGATACGGCCGGTTCAGATTAGTGCGCGTTGGTGGGGCAACCGAGCCAGCATCGATGCACATAATGACAGTTCGCCACTCGATGCTCTCGGTTGCGCCTCCTTTGCCAGAAGTGGGGGATGGGAGGAGCTTTAATAACGCTTGTGACTCAATCGTGCAAGTTAAGAAAGCAAGGCAGCACATTGAACTGTGGCCAGAACAAACAAAAGATGGCGAGGTAGCCCGTCTCATTATTTTGGCGCTGGGCTGAAGGACCAGTCATTAGAAGAGATTTTTGCTTTTTAGCGTCCACTGCTGTCTGGACCCAGACCCGGGAAAATGGCATCAAGTAAGGGAACTGCGTGGTGTTGGTAGGTCTGGTGGTAATCCTTAAAGTTCTTGTTTGTCACATCTACAAGTTTTCTGTGTGTGTGTTTTTTTTTTGTTTTTTTTTTTTTAGTTTTCTTTACATTGAGAACATGAGCCCTGTTGTGAATAGCCTTCTTTTTATGTACTTTGAGAAAGTGTTTAGTATTAAGATGCTACACTTCAAACTGTTGTAAATAGCTTTCTTTCTATGTAGTTTGAGAAAGTGCTTAGCATTGAGACTGTGCTATGTTAAGACCTGTAAATAGAACCCTGTTTATTTGGAAATGCAAGTCACAAAGAAGCGGTCAATGTATTCCCTTTTGGAACTACTGTTGTGCTACTTGGCTCAATAAATGTGTCTTGTGTTGAGCAGATTTCTGGTGGTTGGCTACTTTATTAACATTTAATCACCAGGATTATCCAAACAAAAGGATCATTTGTGAAATTACCAAAGGAGTGCCCTGGGAAAAGATATTTGCATTTGCCTTGTCATTATAAGGTAGTTGAAATAATCAAATTAAGGTCTTGGCAAAGATGTATGTGATGTAATTTTTGGATTCAAGTTTTTGGTGTGGTAGAGTTATTGCTGCAAATTGAGAGTAACTGCTTGTGACATACTCCTAGGTGCCCAAATTATTTAAAATGTCATTGCCATAGGTGAGTCATTTTGTAGAAGTCTGAATGTTAAGCTATGAAGCTTCAGGAACTCGCGTGTTCTCCAGCTTCATCGCTAGGGTCGCGTGTCTCAGTGGTGCATCATGTATATTATTGTTGTGACTTCGGTCTGGGTTCCCTTAACTTTTAAAAAATTGGTGGGCTCTGTGGTCTGGTTTCAACAATTGCAAACATTGTGAGCTTGCAAAGTTCAGTATAGTGTGAAAAAATTCAAATTGTTTTCACTGCTGGAAAATAGTCTTCCTTGATTTAATATTGCCAAATCTGAATGAAATGCAGTGTTGAAGGGTTTGCTGCACGATAAATATACTTGAGAGCTTTGGTAGTGTTAGCATAATGGATTTTCTGGGAGCCGGGTGGTCTTGGAAGGTACTGAAAATCCGTTAGTTTTGCAGGGAAGGGTATGTTCAATCCCATGTTAGCTGCCTATAGTTACATTTGTCCTGCCTCGAGTGCGAGCTTCCTACTTCCGATAACACTGGGGTGCTTTGTGAGCGTCCACGTATGGCCAAAGCACGGAAGGAAAGCAGATGCTGTTGGTTGGGTCGAAAGGAGATGCCCTGCAGTTCTCACCTTGTCGACTGAAGAGGAGTTTGTGGTAGGTTCTACAACCAAGTGAAGTGTGTAACAGTGTCGTTGCTCTTTGCAGTGCAGAAGCCTGATGAATCTTGTGGACTGCTGAGCGAGTATGAACAAATGAGAAGGTATAAGTACCACCTCTAAAATCGTGAGAAAAGTTTTTTTATTAGAAATACATTGCATGATAAGGAACAATATTATAGGTATGCACATGTTGCAGTGCCTGAAATGAGTGGTCTCGTGGTGGCAACAAATCTCATCGTAGAAGTTCGTGGCAAATTTCGATGCTTGTCACAATAGCGCTGTCGAAGAAAGGCAGACTGGGGTTGCGGCGTCTCCAACCTGTGGCTGCTCTAGTTTCCGCCACTTGCAAAGTGACCTACAGCCGACTCGTGTTCCCACTGCTGTTGTGCTGCCACCAGGATCCCGGCTAGTGACTAAATGTGTTGGCAGTGATGCGAGGCAGAATTCGAGGGACCAAAATTTAACCACTTAAAGGGATTGTCCGGTAAATTTTTGTTCAAGAAAATTAAATCTTTTGTGTTCAGGAACACCCTCCATGCAATGTTTGAATTTTTCATCTTCCACGCATTTCCATAGGCTGTTCCCATAAGTCCTTAGAAAACAGCATTTTTGATGGCAACATTGGCAACCACGGAAGTTCTGACGTAACATCGGGTAAAGAGCCGCGTTGGGGTGCCCCCCAACTGCTATACTGTAACTTTTTGTTTATTTATTTAACCTTGTTGCTCTGTCAGACTACATCTTCGTGTATTTAAGGGGACTTAAATCCGCAAAGATTGTTGTGCGCTTAATTGAAACAACCCTGGGACTGTACACTAAGTGTGTCCCATCGCTGTGTGAAATACACTCGAGCTATCCGCGTGGGAAAGCGAGGCGCGACCTGGCTGGTTCAAGATTGATTTCGGTTTCACCACATAAATATGTGTTGAAAATACAACTGTTCCTCTAGCATCAATTTTTCATAATCTTGCAAGGCATTTAATTAGTCTAAACATCTAAATTCACGATAGAGCTCACCTTTAATGTTATTCGTACGCTAAATGGTTTCGGTTGCGCTGCATAGACGTGTGTGTAACTGCTGCTCTACGCTCGATTCCTCGTGATCTCGCAAGACATTGCCTTCAAATGTCTACATTGACAGTAGATCATCTTTTTTACCTCTATCTCCCACAGTAATTACTCAATGGATGTGATTGATCTCGTGGACTCCAGCTTTGTCCTCGACACTAATTTATGTGGCATGAAGTATGCCTGCTAGTAAGCAAGCAGCGAAGAAAATGTTTTTTTTTCGGGTCTCGTGTGTTTATTTACCCGCCAATATGCTCGAAGGATCATGGACCCTGCCTGGCTGACATGGTTTTCTGCAATTTATATTGTGCATTGTTTGGTGTGCCCCTTCTTTATATTCCTTACTTTTTTTAAAGTGTGCTGATGTTCCTAAAACAACCAGGTGCTTTTGGTTATCCCACATTTTAGACGTCTTGGGAACCATCCAGCAGGGAGCCACATATTAGTCGAGTTTCAACACTTTAGTTTTTATACAACTCATCTGGGCTAGAACATTGCACATTGGAGCTAAAACATTTTATGGACACCATCCCTTCCAACAAGTTTTAAAGAACTATTTTTCATGTTTGCAGGGCAGTAAGGGAGAGCACTTCCCATTCTAACGTTTTGAAGGTTTCAGTTCCTAAAAAAAGAAAGTGTTAATCGGTAAACATTCTCCAAAACCTGCAACCTATGAACTCACCCTCCTCAATCCAGTGTCGACCAGTGACATCACCGTGCAAACGGTGTAACGCGTTGGTACGACGGTGGACATCGCACTAGTGCCGCGCGAATCACGTGTATTGCAAAAATGAGGTTCCCCTGGAGGCTACTGGTTCCCAAACTTTGTTTCAGAAATAAAGAATAATAAAATGCGGGTGCGCGCACGTCTGGATACCTCGTGTCCCACGGCGTAGTCACAGAATTTCCCCTGAACAGTTGCCGCAGCGTTGAGACTGCCAGACATATAATGGCAATGCTCGGTTACAGATGCCGTCGGAAACATAGCCTCGGCAATCCTCTTCACCAGGAATGATATGTCGATCCGAGGAACGCCAGGAAAGTTGCTCCTAGGGTGCCTCAATGTCCTGTTTAGGGTGATGCCACCCTTTGTAGTACCCGATGCCGACAGCGCGCACTCACGGGGAAAATACAAAGAAATCAACGAAAACAAAATGTCGCCGTAGCACAGTCAACGCCACAAACGCGTGCAGGGCCACGTTCTTTCACGCGCTTTTGAACAAAAAATAATAATAAACATGTGGGATAAAATGGCGAGACGCCACCACCCTAAGCCAAGCGCACATGAAGGCACCCCAGTGTTGCCAACCTATTTTTCGAAAATACCCCACGGCAGCGTCCAGAATACCCTACATTACCCTACGAATGTTTCTTATTACCCTACGTTTTACCCTACGAGGCAAATCTTTGTTCAAATAATACTGTTGCATGGATTATGATGCTACAGGGTAGTATTAATACAGTACAAAGCGACAGGGCACGCATGCACGCGCATACCTGCGTTATTCTAGAACACCATGCTTGCGTGTGGTCTGTGTAGCATCAGCACAACAGTGATGTAGCGAGCGCACAGACATCCCCAACCAACAGTCGATTTGTCATGAAATTAAAAACTGGGCTACGTGGAACCAACACTCGCGGCGTCAGACAAGGCGGCTCATTACAAAAGGAAGCTAATCCGAATGGTATATTAGCTTCTTTGGGTGTACCGCCTAGGGATTCGTCAAACTAAGGTACTATTTCGACCAACTAGGCTTTTACACCAGGGGAGGAGAGGAAACCGGCGGCTCCTCCGTATTCGCTAAAATGTCATTCGATGAAACGTCATTGTTTCGGCTTCGTTCGCTAAAACGTCGTTCGCTCAAGTGAACGCCTCCAGCCCCCGGGATGCACTCACTTGATCAAATGACGTTTTACCGAATGACACTTTAGCGAATAGTCGGACACCGCGAAGTGGCGCCTTTTCGGGTGGGCCAAATGGGTACACATTTTTGTAATGAGCCGCCGCAGACTGTCGCGCGAAACGGCGTAAGCGCAGCGCGGCCCCCGCTATTCGCTACAACGTCGATTCGCTCAAATGTCGCTGTTCGCTAAAACATCATTCGCTCAAGCGGTATGGACACCCAGTCATCAGAAAAAAAATTGGCGGGACCATTTTCACTGGGAAGATACCTCTTCTGGCTCCAAACTTCCTAAGCGCAACCCCACCTCCTCCCACCTGTCCCACTTGCTCCAGCTCCCCAATACTCTCCAACTTAGGGAGCCTGCATACTCCAACTTGGTGTGTGGTGCTCTCAGTTAGCACGTCTTGCAACTTGGATTCTTTCGTTTTGCATGATGTTGTGGTGTGGCAGCACACGGGTTGTAAAGCTGTGCAAGACTTGCGCGGCAGCTTTTTTTCTTTTTCTTGTTATGCTCGCCGTTGAAGAAGCAACGTCTGAAAATACCCTACTTTTAACGGGGAAATGGCCGGACGGCCCTACAGCCCTACAATACACCATAAATGCCTAAAATACCCTACAAGTAGGGTAATTACCCTACGGTTGGCAACACTGAGGCACCCTAGTTGCTCCAAGCTCACGGCAATCCTAAAGTAATATATAAAAAAAAAAAAGTTTTTTTTTTTTTTTTTTTACAAGAAACGTAGTTGAAATGAGAACAACCGAAAATATAACACAGCCTCCGTCCTTTAGGTTTTATCAGGGGGGATCGGTGGCCGAGTGGTCTAGCGTAGAGCATACCTCGGCAAACCTCACTCATGAGGGCCCTCACTCACCCTCATCTTCACAGGTGAGGTGAGGGTGAGTGAGTTTCTGAACCAGGAAAATTCATGAGCGTGAGGGTGAGTGAGGGCCGTGAGGGCTGTGAGGGCGGTGAGGGCCGTGAGGGCGGTGAGGGCCGTGAGGGACGTGAGGGCTGTGAGGGCTGTGAGGGCCGTGAATGCGGTGAGGGCCGTGAGGGCTGTGAGGGTGGTGAAGGCCGTGAGGGCCATGAGTGCGTGAGGGCGGTGAGTGCGTGAGGCGCCCTT